TGGCAAATTTAAGTGCAAACAGTAGCTTTTAAGGGGAAGTCTGAATTGGATCTCTTCAGGTAGTTTGTGCTGGCCAAAGAGAAAAATATAACCATACCTTTAGATATAAACATTGTTAAATCATTTCCTTGCCTGAGAAGCTCAAATTAATACCGGGCTGAGTGGTTCCTGGAACTGGTACTTGTAACTGCTTTTTCTCAGCTAAGTATCTTCAGACATAACAGTTTCTGTTTTGACACTTTGATCATATATATACATGTGTGTATACTTCTCATATATATCTATTAATATTATCCATTTGGTACTACTGAGTTTCCCCATCCCTTATATGTTTTACCACAGTGTCTGGGAATGTGGGAATATCATTGAAATGGGACACTAAAGCAGAATAGATGGGATTCTGAAGTCCAAACCAAGAAATATTTCTTTCTGCCCCTTCTAATTGTCAGCAAGACAGACAATTTGCCAGCCTGGTTGGCAGCTGTATGAAGGTATTCATGACCTGACTTTATCTGTGTGAGACAGTTAAGGCAAAATTCCAAAGTCTGTAACAGCTCTTGTAAATGTTTATATGAGAAACCCCTCAAATTTGCAGAATAACATGAAAAGGGCTGAAAATACTTGTCTGAAAAATAGAATCTTGCTGACATTGACTGAGCAGATTTGGAAGCTCATTTCTTGTATTGTGATTTTTGTCAAGGGTGCTGAAAATGAAGATGAGCAGCCTCTGTTCCATCAGAGAAGAGGAAACCAGTGGAAGGATTGGAGAGGCAGAGAGTGTTAATAGCGAGGAGCTTTAAAGGAGGATTCTGATTGGATTTGAGTAGAGCAAGACAAGGTTTGTCGTGACTAATGGAAGGATACAGCAGGAAGGAAAGCCCCAATGAGGTTGTTCACAGTCTACACACTATTTTATGCAAAAAGACTGCTGTATGGAACTTGGAGCCATTACAGCAGGAAGCTGCCATTGCCCTCACTGACCAGGAGATAGGCTGATGAAGAATAATCTGTGTCTGCTGGAGGCATGTGAGCAGATGCTGAAGAGACAGGGAGATGCTTTTAGCTGATAGGTCATAAGGTTTTCTGGAGAGAAATAAGTTAAAGTCAAGTACTTAGATCCACAATTACAGAATTAAGGTAGTAAGACAGGGAGAGATGAGATGAATATTGGTGGTAATACTTCTGGCAAATATTGGCTATGGCAGAGTGTAAGCAGGCTTGTACTGGGAGACTGGGAGATAAGATGGGGTCTGCAGGTCATGTAAAGAGATCAAATTAGGAAAAGGTGCAGATACATGTAAATGAAATGACAGAAGGAGGCTTAGAGGGAAAAAATATTTTGTACTTTAATGTTGTCTTGCACATTGTTGTGCTACAGTGCTGATTTTGTCTTGAAAGAAATGAGATCCTACGCAGAATCTCCATGCTTTCGGTCCCCCCCATACCTTGTAATTGCCAGCATGTAGCCATGTATTTTCCTTTACTGTTACCCTTATCTCTTCCTGCTGTTGTGTCAGTTCCCTCACGGAGGAAGAATAATGCACCCCCAGCACTGATAACCTAATTTTTGCTTTTTTATTTTCTCTCTTCACTTCCCACCTTTCCTATTGACTGCAGTTATAACCTCTGATGCTATTTCTGTTGCCTTCTGTTGGCATCTTTTCTCTCTTTCAGCTTTTTTAATTTTTTTTATGGTGCTATGACCATGATCCTACTTGCAGATCATACTCAGCAGAAAGGCCATTGGGCTGAAAGCTTTCATATGTGTTGTATAAAACTTGTAGGTTGAGATGGTGGTTTGAGTTAACATTGGTGGATACATGAAAGATGCTCATGCTTGTTGCCAGGTTCCCCTCCTCCCCCTCATCTTTCCATGTCTGTCATGGAATCTGGAGAGATGGTCAGGACTTCTCATTCTTTTGCTTGAGAAAGTTTCTTATGTTGGTGGAGATTTCAAGACTAAGCTAACACAAACCTAACAATCTGTACATTTACGTTCTTGTGAATTGAGACATGGTCTTTATAGCATCGTACAGAGTGAGTGTGGATTGAACTTTCAGCACGTGGGTTAATGATCAACTTGTGGGTTTGATTGAATATTGAAAAAATACGGAGATGTAACCTGACGGAGAGAAACTAACAAGGACTTTGAATCATGCAGCAGTTGCCCTATATTTGTGTGTGATTTTTCAAGTGGTTGCTCACCTGAACCTCTCTGCATCCCCGGATTAATCAGATCTACCTGACTGGCCAGTACGTAAAGGAAGAGTATAAGAACAGGAGGAGTCTTCATTGATAGTTTCCCACAATCTGGTGTACGTTTTTGGTTCCCTGTGCCTCACAACGGGTATCAAAGAACTAGAGAAGCTTTTGAAGTGGCTGGCAAGGAATAACCAAGTAGACTAGCATGGAAAAGGTAGGCCTGAAGGGAAATGATAGAAGTCTATGAATTTGTGTGTACAATGGGAAAAATAAGAATATGAAATAGATGTTTGGTCTGTTGCAATAAAGGAAGGTAGCAGGTCCAGAGCAAATAAAAGCTGATGGATTCTCATGTGAAATGCTGCTAAACTGTAGAAGTTCTTGCGACAAGCAGTTGTGAATGTTGAGAGTTCATACTAGTTCAGAAAACAGCTGGACAAACCAATGAAAAAGAAAGCCATTGAGAAATCTTAAACAGAAAGGCTCAGATTCAAGGAATCCCTGAGCCACACACTGCTTCTTGGGTTGACACTGGAAGGCTGGAGAGTTTGTTGGGAAGACACTGGTACATGCTTCTTAAATGCCTGCTGCTGGCTACTGTCAGTCACAGCGTATTGAACTAAAGAGGCTTTGTTCAAATCCAGTATTACTGTCTTTATTACTCACTGAAGATTTTAAGGTGTAGGAGGTGTACATATCCTTATACACATATCGTTATATACACTATATATAGTGGCATATATACGCTATATATATGGCAGCTGCATATATATAAAATCCAGTTTGACATCTTCCACATATTTATGAAGACTGCATATGAAGCTGGTGAGGCGGCACAAGTTAGGGCATCAGCAGTTCATCAAACCAAGATTTGTACATTTGTAACCTTCAGTTGTTTGAGCATCCTTATGGCATGCAGAATTTTCATTTAATAATAGATGTCCACCAGGCTATGATGGGAGAAGTTATCACATTAGTAAACATTTGATTGTGCTGGCAGTTAGCTCTATGCCATAGTTTTAAATGGACTTTCATAGAAATTAAAAGAGAAAAATCAAAGGTTTTCATTTGCTGTACACTGGAATTTGGAAATATATAGTATTCAGGTACTATAGCTTGCAGCTAACTCTCAGAATGTATATTATCTAAAACTGCTTGCTTTCTGACACTGTTTCTTGATTAAATGGAAACCATATGACTCAGACCTATTAGACCATCACATAGTTGGTAAAGATGTACTTTAATGAATGCAGTATGAATGATGAAGCATAATAAATGTTATTGGCAAAGAATTCTATGTTAAAACTTGTCACTTAGATACAAACTACAGATACTATAATAGATATAGAGTTCTATAAAGCATACAACTAGTGATCTGTAGTACTGGTTTGAAGGAGAAACTGCTGGTTTTTTCTTTGATTTTTTTTCATATCTGAGAATTAGGTTTAAGATGTAAATCTAGATTTGTCTCATCATTCTGATAGCCCAATGTGTAAAGCTTCCTTTGTTTGATGGAGACGTGGCGGGGGAAAATCCCAACCAGAACAGGAATGATAAATTTTAAGATCTGTTTTCATAGCTTTCTGTATCTGATCCTTTCCTGAGCTGATTTTGTCTATTGATTGCTAATGGAAAGTGCATTTCAGAAGTATAACTTCACATGTGGTAGTTGTGAAAGGCTGCAGATGAATGCGCTTTGAAATGATCTAGGCAAGGATCAACAGTTACTTTGTGTGAAGGTCTGATATGTCTGCTGGGCTCTGGAACAGAGGTTGAGAATTTGCTACAGGTCTGATAGAATTCTGTATTTAAGACCAAGGCTTCTAAGGGTTACATCTTTTGAGCTATCAGAGAGAAATATCTTGTGTTATTGTCCTAGAAATATCAAGGACATATATATATATGTCCTACTCTTTTGGTTTGAACTGTAACTTACCCAACTCAAAGCCCTGATGGGCACAGTGTTTAATCAATGTCTTCTGGTCTTCAGCATCTGAAAACATACACAGCTTTGTAGATACTTGGAGTTGGTGAACTTGTCTGGATGTTTTCAGTCTTTAAAATTCTTCTCCAGATCAGTATGCATCACAGTGTTCACTGTTAATCTGTAGCTGGAGAATACAATAGAGGCAAAGCAGCCGTCAGATGTTAACTAAGTAAGATTGTTGTTAGACTTCATAGTATATTCAGTTTCTGGCATCCTATATGAGACAAATGTGGTGTCAGCTGAAAGTGTTGGGTTTTTTTCTTTGTGACTGCCTTTTTTATAAACTACTTCTGTAAAGGTGCTCTTAGATGGTAATAGTATTTAAGGGCCTGACTAATACACTGTGGTGTAATAAACTGTAGGTGGTATTGAGGAGAGGAACCCTAAGATACCTGAATCTGAAAGTAAGAAACAGTTCATAGAATCCAGACACTCTGTAGAAGAAATGAAAGTAAACTTCATGTTGTGATAAAGAAATTTACTGTAAATGAAGAGTCCATCTATAGACTATTATATCCTCTGCAACATTTATTTTAAGTAACCTACTTTTCTTCTAAATCCTCCTAATTCATCTGGTAAGGTAAATGATGTATTCCAACAATATAATCTTCAAGTAGACAATGCTGACATGTCTCATTTTGAGCTCATTTAAGACCTGTTAGCATGTTTCAGACTAGAGTAACCTGTTGAATAAATACATCAGGGAAAGGCTTTTACTGGTAATGGTTGTTTTGCTTAGGTGACTATGGCTGTAATGTATTGTGAGTACATCTGGTACTTGGGTGCTTATCGGTGATCTTTTTTCCTTTAGGCGGTTTCCTAGAAACATGATTGCTTGCTGGTCTTGATCTCACAGCTTTGTGAAGACTTCTTCTCTGATAATGTCAAGTTCAGGCTACCCTCCTAACCAAGGAGCATTCAGCACAGAACAGAGTCGTTATCCTACGCATTCTGTCCAGTACACCTTCCCTAGCACCCGGCACCAGCAGGTAAGGAGACATGAGCCTTACAGATCTAACAAGAGTGTAATTCAGGTGCTTGCTGTGCCAAATGGGATGTATTTTATTTCTTTTTAAACCAATGTAATAAAAGTAGTTCACATTTGAAAACAGTGGAGTTGCAGACCACATGCCCTGCTGAGAACTGCCAGTGTTGCTTACGTACATAGTTGTGGGGTGGTTTGGTTTTGTTTGCCCTCCTTTTTTTGCTGAAAGCACTCCATTTTGCTTCTTTATATATGTATCTGTTTTTTTACTTTTAGTTTCATGTTGGGGTTTGGTTGTTTTTTTTGTCAGAAATCCAAGTTTTATAATTCTAGACCTTTATCACAGGGAATTAATATAAACTTCCTGGTTTTATCATTGGTTTCTTGTAGTTTGAATAAATTCACTAGGGATTGTGTTCCTGAACTTTTGCTGTAGTTTTGCTTTAATTTGTTAATGGTTAGTCATCATACTAAATTTGTCCAATGCTAGTGTGGCTGAGTCCATATTCATCGATAGCAATGATTTTCCAAGAATGTGTGAATAATCTGCCTGCAGTTAGTGTACATGTAATATGACTGAAGCATTCTGACTGTAACAAATCCTTTGAGAGTCTGGGCTCTTGTGGCTTTTGTGGATACTAAATTTTTATGGCAAATTAATCTCCTATTAGGCCCAGGAGCATAAGAAGTACACCCATAGTCATCTTTCATCCTATATAAGGAGTATTTGGCTAGATTCTCTGTAAGCTAAATGTGGTGCTTGACAAAACCTGTGTGCAATGTGGAGAATGTGAATCTGAAGTTAAAAATTTGTGTTACACTGTTTTTTTTTCTGAAGCAGCTATACCAGTGCTTCCAGCTAGCTGTGTTCTGCTAGCCAGAACTGGAGTATGATTTCTAAGAATCTCCTGCTTAGTTATTCCTGCTGAGCATTCATTCTGCCATCCTGTGCTCTCTGTGGCGTGGTGGGCAGTGGAGAGCTAGCTGTTAGCTTTAGAACAGTTTAGGTTTCTCTCATTTCAGTTTAATTCTCCTGCTACAGGCACTTTAGATGTTTTGTTCTACTTATACGCTTGCAAAAGGATATTCAAGAATTGGAGCTTTTTGACATGCTCCATGTTTATTTTCAGATATTTATAAAAACAAAATCTTATGAATAATGACTTACTGTGTGTCTTGTTGAGCTTCTCTTTGGTTAATGGCAGCTGCATATACTTTCGTAAAGCAAATTTTTGCTTTTGAGGACGCATATATACAAATAACTTGTCTTGTACCTCACTTTGATTATAAATGAAATGCGTCTTGTCTGACTCTTAGTTCTAATTAAGTGTCTGATGTAAAAATGTTTTGAGGTGATAACAGAAGAAATGGCTTCAGGGTTGCTGAAATATATTCTCATTTTACCACTTTGTGGTTGGATGCGTGAAATTGATTTGAATGGATATTTTTCTACTGCTGACTCGTTTGTGTTTTGACAAAAATTGTTGGGTGAAATTCTTAGCATAAGTGTTTAGTCACTTTAAAGTTCATTTAAAACTTAGAACTGCCATTTAAAAGCTTTTATTTTTTGAGCTGAATTAAGGTTTTAGTGGTATGGTCTTGGTCTGTATTTAGTATCTTTGGAAATGATCATTCCAGAACACCAGACTCTTTTGATCCTGTTTTCTATACCTTTGTTCTTGTTAACATCAGAAGTGTCTTTCCTTTAGGAATTTGCAGTTCCTGATTATCGCTCGTCTCACTTGGAAGTCAGTCAGGCAACCCAGCTCCTGCAGCAGCAGCAGCAACAGCAGCAGCAACTTCGGCGCAGGCCTTCCTTGCTTTCCGAATTTCACCCGGGCTCTGACAGGTGAGGATGCTGGTTTTGAAGTACGTGAACATGAATCTTCCGTGAGTCTGTGCTTTCTGTAAAGTTAGTTTCAACTTTTGACAGAAAGGATTCTGTGTTTCATAGTTTTTGTCGAAGTACTGGATTTCGTTACGCTGCTCCATTGTAGTAGTGTTGGGTCTCCTGTGTTTGAGTGTTGTAGCTGTTGTGTAATTCCTCAGTCCCTTTGGCTTAACTAGTGCATTTATTTCATAGACAGGAAGTGACTGTCTGCTTCGCTTTTCCCAGATCTCTCCTAACAGCAAACTTCTGAGAATCCAAGTGCATAGCACAAGCTTTTTCATGCTGTTTAGGCCAGAAGTGTGTAGAGTTTGTACCTTTGGATAATTTAATCTTGCTGAGTTGAAGCAACAAGTGTAAGAGTTGTTAGAGTGAATACTACCTGTCATATTTTCTAGATTAGTCTTGTTTATTCAACAGATGGTATCTGTATGGCTGGGCAAGTAAGAAACAGTAGAGCTAGTTGGGTTGAAAGCTGTTGTAAGTTGTAAAGCACTGAAATGTGGCAGAAAATGGACTTCTAGGCACAGAGGACTAAATTGGAATGTATATTACTCTTGGCAAGACACTTGACAGCTCCATATCGTGTTCTAAATATCCTTTTTGTCAGTCTCACATACCACTCCTGTCTCTGTAAGTAGCTGCAACTGATCTGGGTCCAGTAGGTGAACTGAGGAGAAGTGGAGTGCACAGATACATTGAATCATATGGTGTAACTTAGTTTCAGCTTAGTAATACCTTCTCAGTAAAATGGGTTGCTTCATAGCGGATATTGATGAATGTTCAAATGTACACTAGTATTACTGGAAAGTTGATAGGTTCAAGAAAGTATCCAGGTTATATCAAGCATTCATTTGACTGTATACCTGATGAATATTGGATGTACTCTGAAAATCAAATTTAGAAATTAAAAATGCACTATAGATCAGGGTACGATGAATTGGATTGTAGTAAGTTAGCAAGAATATGCTTCTGTTAAGGGGAGAGGATACCATATGCTTTATGCTCCTCAATTCTTTAGCATATTAGTATGCTAACGTGCACTTGTAAGGAAGTATTATTGCTTATAACAAGCGCTTTTTTTCCCTTGGACTCTTAGTAAGTATATCAGCTAGGGACAACTATATGCTGGATTACTGCTAGCAGTTTATTTTGGTTATAACTGAGATAACCTGGTTCTGAAAAAATACCAGTGATTAATGTTATTTAAATATTATTATAGCTTAAAATCTCATTAGAATATTCCCAGAAATAACTTGGTGGTAGTGAAATCTGGGGCTTGTGTATTCCCTTCATCTTGTGTCATCAAATGCCAGTAAGGCTCTGTTTTAGTGCTGAGAATCATAATAGCTTGTAGAGTTCTCAAAATGTCAGTTTATAGCAGAAATAAGTCCTCTCCCCGCTTTTGTAAATTTGTAAAAGCTTATTCAGTAGTTCTGGCAAAATACAGGAAACTACTGTCATCTCTTCAGTGGCACTTCATAGGAAGATGTTGAAGCATATGAGGTTCTTTTGTGGACATCCTGTGCGTTGCTCTGTAAAGAAGCTAGTGATAGTGTTCTGCATTTTTTGGAGGAGGGGGAGGTTTTAGATGACTCATGGGTTGAATCAATGACTGTTTCTGTCATAGAATAGTGTTTTAGTAGAGATCAAGTTCCAAATAGACTCCTGGCCCATTTCAAGGATTCTGTGTATATTTGAAAATTATTTGACTGCAAAAAGGGAATAATGGAGCTGTTGTGGCCATCTGTGTTCAGTGGAATATAATACTATGTTTATCTCATGGATTTTTTTGTTTACAGTTTGAATCAGAGCTTTGATTTGAACAGTGTCATTGTCGCAGTGGTTAGGTTTCTTTGGGTGTTAATGATGGGTATGCGTTTAAACTGTCTTTTAAGATTGAAGAAAACTTTGATTTTTTTCAATGGAGTTTAATCTGTATTTTAGGAGGTCATACTTAGAAATGTTTGCCTTACTGTTTAGAAGGGGCTTCACTGTATTGCATCTCCAGTATATTTGAAAAGGGTTGAGAAACACCAAATATTTTTCTTGTATGGACAGCATATATTTTAATAGTTTCTCTCTTCTGTGTATTAGGCCTCAGGAAAGGAGAACTGGATATGAACAGCAGTTTCATCCTGGTCCATCTCAAACAGATCATGATTCACTGGAATCTAAGCGACCACGTCTTGAGCAAGTCTCTGATTCCCATTTTCAGCGTGTCAGTGCAGCCACTGTCTTGCCTTTAGTACATCCTCTGCAGGAAGGGTTGAGATCTGCAGATATTAAGAAGGTAAAGCCATTTCTGGTTGCAATGCTGAAGGTGTAAATCACTATGTTGTAGTGAGCAAATAAATTCTTTGCTGTTAGGTAATTTTTTTTAATTTGCTTAGGCTCATTTTTCAATCCCAGAAATTTAATGTTACACATTATCACAAACTTGTCATGAGTCAGTGTTACTCTTATAAAAGGAACAAGGAGATAAGTCTACCTCAAACACAGGAAAGAGACTGATGTTCTGAGTTGCCATTGCACTCTTAAGTTATTAAAAACTCATTTGCAAAATGATTAAGATATAGTGCATGAAATATTTCTGCTTTACAATTGAAATCTACTGGCAGATTAATGTAGATCTGTTTTTTTCTGTAATATTTGTACTGAATGGTCAAAGTACACCCCTCCACCCCCTTTTCCTTAAGCATTTAAAATGAATCTGCTTATTTACAGAACAGTAATTCTCACTGCTTCATTTTGGGTAAGGGTAGGACAATGTAGTTTGGTGTAGATATTTTCTATTGTAGATACTGAATATTGATGAAAGCTATTTGTATAGAGCAGACCAGTCTCTCTAATATTTAATACCTTCTCTCATGTGCACACACAAGCATGCTCACCAAAAAGGTGCTGTGTGACTTCTGAAGCTCAAGTCTCTAGACCCAGATCATGTAAAGAAAAATTTCACCATATGGATTCCAAATCTAATAGGCACCAGCCTTTAAACAGTTGATTACTTGTCTTTGCCATTCCTTTTATCGTGTGAATAAACTGTGAAGTGAAATTATGATAGCGTGTAACTTGCTGTGTTGCATGGCAAAGATCAAAGGGAGCTGGAGAAGCTAAGCAATGTTAACATGTTCATATGTAACTAAGTTTTTATCCAGGTGATATATGTGGAAATTTACTGTCTCAATTTAGCAATACAGCCTAGTATTATCTTGAGGAGAAGAGGCATTCAAACACGTCATCTTTCAGTCAGATTGGCTTGGATGGGGGCTGTATTGCTGAGCTAACATTTAGCAGCTAGGTAGTCATGGGGCATGATGTTCTGAAGACATAAACAAAAGGTGCAACTGTGCTGTTGTTAGAACATGAAGCATGTTGAAATATGTTGTTTGGAAACAGACAAAAAAACCCCCAAAGAGAAAAAAATCAAAGCCAAATAAATAGTGACCTGTCCTCTCTTAAGTCATCATTTTTAAGTTGTGTTAAGTTCAAGAGAACGTAACATTTATAACCACAACTAACTCCAGATGTACTTTATCAGGCTAGCCATGGTTACAAGAATATCCTCATCAGTGTATGTGCGGAGTATTGAGGATTGGCTCCCAAGTAACCTTTCCTTTAAAGATAGAAGATACCATTTACTTTTAAGAAAAATAAGGGAGATGTTTTGATCTTATTTCAGTTTAAAGGTAAACACTGAAGTGTCCTGTTATTTTTGAAGGTGGACTTTGAAATTACGATATCATAAATGGGCTATCAAGCTAATTCTAAAATATTTAGAGCATTAATAAACTGAAATATTAAACTTTAACTCATCTTCTCAACAGAGATATAGATAACTGGAAATTCTTTTCAATTCATGTGTGCTGGTTTAATTACTGAACACTCATTCACATGTTATCAATATGACTGATTTCTCTCAATCTCCCCCACCACGCTGTCCCCATGAAAGGACCCGGCTTTTGGAGGAAAGCATGAGGGACCATCTTCTCCAATTTCTGGTCAGCCTTGTGGGGAGGATCAAAATGCTTCACCTTCAAAGCTGTCAAAGGAAGAATTGATACAGAGCATGGACCGCGTAGATCGTGAAATTGCAAAAGTTGAACAGCAAATCCTTAAACTGAAGAAAAAGCAAGTAAGCATAACAAGACACTAGTGTTCTTATCTGCCAGTGAAAAGGGTGTGGAAAAGCTTCATTTTTGGTGGTAGTGATTTTTTTTTTTTTGTTACATGAACCAAATGAACAAGCTAAAAAGGGAAGATTATGCATATGATTTTGCTAGAATGTCTAAATAGGTTGGACATCATGTAGTTTTAAACATTTTTGAAACTAGGAGGAAGCCATAGAGGAACACCAACAGTAGATGGATTTATATTGAACTTTAGATGACTGGTGAAACAAGGGCACTGTGACTGTAATTTCAGCTTTAAAGATGACTGCTGAGTGAGGGGATACTATCATCTTTCTTCTTTCACAGTCTATGCAAGGGAAGAATCCCTTGCATGCATCTCCAAAACCAGAGCTTGTACAAAAGTCCCTGGATCATCTGCTTTCACAAGGGCAAGAGATCCTAACATCTGGAGCTATGGTCAGCCTTGGGGAAAGTGTAGTAGGTGGGATGCGAGTAAACAGAGAGAGCAGAGAAATACAGGAGGAAATACCACATTTTTTAGGTGGTCCTGGCTGTGTTTTGCATAAGAGAACTGCACTTCAGCCACTGGAGGCAAAGGAAATGTTTTCTGGCAGTAGCTGTTGCTTTTCCAGTAGCTGCTGTGGCCAACTAAACCCACCCTTCAATTTAGGCATCTGTTATTCGTTGGGAAAAACAAAGTCCTTGTCTCCTTTTCCTTTTAAGGCTTTCAGAGATCCATAGATGTAGTACCAGCTTTACCTTTTTATTCTTTCAGTGGGATCTCTGTAAGAAATAAGTTGCACATTAGGGTTCATTAACTTGTATGTCCAGGAAAAAAATTGACACTAAAACTAAAAGATACTTTACAGGTTTCTAAAATTCAGACATAATTAAATGCTTCCATACCATAAGAACACACCACGGAAGCATTTAATTATGTCTGAATTTTAGAAACCTGTAAAGTATCTTTTAGTTTCAGTGACCTGTAAAATTTCTTTCAGCAGGAAAATCCCAAGGATGTCACAACATACCTGGCTGTGAGTTTCTGTTGCCTTCTGTAATTGAGCCTGGGTTTTTCCTGCAAAACTTTTAGATTTGGAAACCTTGTGTGGCAATATAGCACATTCTAGCCACTACTGTATGACAGGATGGATCCCTAGTGTCAGAAGTTCTTTGTTGTATCTTTGTAGCAGGCATGGATGAAGGAGATTTACAATTAAAAAGTGAAGATGCCTCTGAACCAGATTTATTTGGTGTGGAAGCAAATCACAGCAGTGTAGCAGCTAGGAAAAGATTACAGGGTTTTTTTTTGCTGTTGGTATTTTTTTGCTTGTTTGGTATTGTAACAATCTTGGAACTTCATGTGGAGTGATTTATTTCTGAAGTACGTTTGGAATGATGAGGAGTGTTAGGACTTTTTGTGCCTATTTAAACAATGAGACAGTAGTAATTGTGACTCTGGAATATCTAGAATGTAGAAAGTCAGTGCTGTGGATGATTTCCTCTGTGAGAAGGCAGGTTTGGTGTAACTGTTCCCCAAAGTTAATACTTTTCCTTAAACTTAAATAGTGATGATAAATGTGACAATGTCTTTAAATGTCAAGCTAAAACAAGTCTTATTCAGTGCAGGTGAGTCCTGTAAACACTTTGGTTTACTAATAGTACAAAAAATAGTCTTCTTATCTTCCTTGTTGGCATTAAAACCACTTCATTCACCCCTTGTCAGTTAAGAAGAGGAATAACAGGCGGTGCTAACTGTTTATCAGCTGCATATTTTATCTCTGGTGACTAATTACTGGTAAGGGTAACATGGTACGGATGGCTGATTTTCTTTCTTTCGTCTCTTAGCAACAACTTGAAGAAGAAGCTGCTAAGCCTCCGGAGCCAGAGAGGCCTGTCTCCCCTCCTCCAGTGGAACAGAAACACCGCAGTATTGTCCAAATCATTTACGACGAGAATCGGGTAAGAGCGCTTTTTAGTTGAATAGCATAGCTGTGAATCTGACCTCGCTGCTAAAATTCATTACGTCTTCATTTGCTTCTGTGGGGCAGTTTTTGCTTCGTCTGTTTTATTGATTTGCCCACGCCTCTTTTAATACTCATTTACTTCTTTAAATGAATGACATTTTCATGACTGTTATGGTCACAGGATCCTTTTATCTTGCAAGCAGTCTAGGGAAACACATCTGTGGGTCTCATCCCTAGACCATGGTGTTCAGATGGGTATATATGAACACACACATGATGGATATGAAAAAATGCTTCAGAAATTAGTCTTAAATTCTCTTTTCCTCACATAAAAACAGACAAGCTTGGCTGAAGATCCAACATTTAAATTGACTGAAGGGGAAAAGCTGCATATGTTGTAAGATTCCATGCCTTCTTTTTAAACTCTTGACTTCTGGTACTTTGGTTAAATGAACAGATACGAAGAAGCAGTATGTAGCTGAATTGTAAGCTTGTGTTGCATAAGTGGTGATAAAAGTACAAGAGATCAGTAGATCATAAACAGCAGCAAAGTGCTTGCTGCTTTTTTTTTTCCCCCTGGTAGTTTGAGATTAGTGAGTTGGATATCCGCTGGTTTTGAACGTATTGTGCTCTTTTGTGAGAATGGTATATGTTTGTTTAATTTCCCAATTCTGTTTTGTAGTTTATAGGAACAGCTAACTTCTGTTACAATAGCCTATTTTTGCAAATTTGAGGTGGTAAAAAACTGCAACACAATACTAGATTTTCCAGAGTAGAACTGTGTCCCAAACATTCCATTCAGTCTCTTTTCCCCTTTCCCCAGCTCTCTCTGAAGTTTGATGTATTTACTTAATACAGAACATTAAGGCAATTACTATGTTATAGAAACTGATGTAACCAATGTACAGCAATATGTACATCTTAGTGAGCTGCTGTGCTACTCTTTCTCTGCTAACTGGTTACTGGTGGATTCTACAAGAGAATTTTGAACTTGCTATTGCACTCCCTATGTTGTGTATGTGCTAGGAGATGAAGAAGCCCATTTCTCCTGAGGTGGAGTAGTGTGTCAGTATATCGTAATCAATTAACTGCTTCTGTTTGTGTAGTTGTTCATACAGTATTCTATATACAAGGGGAATTACCAAGCTTGTTCATTTGTGAATCCGTTTAGCACTTGAGTTCTTATATCAGAAATTGTGTGTTGTGTAGAATGGCAGTATCAATTGGCTTAATACTAATAGCACATGCCAATACTCACTGACTTACTTAAAAGGTTATTAAAGATATATTAAGCCATTTGTGTCTGTAGCACTTGTTTAGTATCTTCTGCAGTTGTACAAGAGGACAGTCCTTTGGCAGCTTTCATCTTCAAACCATGCAGTTTAGGATAATTGCTTTTAATACTCAGCTACTGTTGGTTAAAATTTGTCTAAGGTAATAGGGCTAGAGTTAAATTTTAAATCTTTTGAGACCAAAAAAAAAAACAATGTACCAGGATAATACTATATTTTCTTGATATATCATTATTTTGTGCAGCCGTGAGTTCCAAATACTTCCTCAAGATTGAATTTACATGGGAAAAGGTTAGAACTTAGCAGAACACTTTCTGATAATAACTGCTTTATGGATTAGTCCGGTCTATATCTTTCTTTGCAAATGCCTTAGGGCTAACACATACAGCTACTGGGGGAAAGAAGCAAATTTGAACTAGATTGGGTTATTTCAGATAGCCTTCTCTGCTGAGAAAGGGCTTTGGAAGACTGTACAGGCTTGAAATGAATTTGTGAAAGCCAGCTGTCTTATCTAGAGCTGCCTCCTTTAGGATCAGAGTTATTTTGAAGTCTTCACCCAGTGGAAGGAGGACCTTTAATGTACCTTCATGTTTGTGTATGTGCACATTGATTCACATTCTCAGATTTGGCAATTGGAGGATTTTAGTCTCTTAATTCTATTTTTCAAAGTTAGCTAATTTTTGTTTTACTGGACACCTCTCTTCCTCTTAACAATTATTTGCTGTACTATTTATTAAATGAACTGCAGTAGTCAGTTTCTGCCTTTATGCCCTGTCAGCTTCCAAACACAGAGATCAGAGTAGTAACTACACAATTCAAGTACAGGTTTCTTGATTTGCTGAGTCAACATTGTAGAAGTAGATTAAGAAGGGTATAGTTTGGGCAGAGAAGGGGTTAGCACCTAGTGTAAGTGAAAGAATTCAGACACGCTTCTGACTCTGATTTCAGATTATTTACTTAGACTATACAAAAATCTTGCTTGCAGAAAAAAGCAGAAGAAGCTCACAAGATATTTGAAGGTCTTGGTCCAAAAGTTGAACTGGTAAGTTGTGCTTGGATTTGGTTTTGGTTTTGATTCCATCTCCCCCTTCCTTCCGCCTCCCTTTATGTCTTGCTAGTTGCTGTAATTCTGTTGTGATGAACAGATGTAGTTCTGTGTTTATGTATATAGGAACCGTGTGCTTAAATGCTCTGGTGAATTGGGGTTTGATGAACTGGTTGACGACATAAGTGTAATTTTGAAAACAGATTGGAATCTACTTGAGAAAACAGTTTGAAATATGAAAAAAAAATTAATACTGTTATATACATAACTAGTTATAATTTAATTTAAAATAACTTGTGCTTTGTGTTGAATATCTTCTAGTCCTTTCAAATTGCTGCATCTCAGATTGAGTGCACTGTTAGCAGAATACTAAAATATTGTTAAATACGTTGCATGTACTTTTAGAGTTACATACATTGAGACATCCTAAGTGTACCTTTTCTAATCCAAAATTGTAGCCACTTTACAACCAACCGTCAGACACAAAAGTCTACCATGAAAACATCAAAACGTAAGTGCTTTAATCTCTTGTTATTGTGCCTTTTAAGAGATCTACACTTGCTCCACTTCTTCAAATGTAGCTGTGTACTTACTGTTTTTTAGCGATATACTGTAAACCTCTTAGCTTCAGGGCTGAATTAAAATTACACTCCCCCAAAGTGTATCATCTTAAGCCAAATTTACTCATTTTAGCAAACTTTTTCTTGTGGTGAAAGAGAGCACCTAGCTTGAAATTCAAAGCTTTTGTGTCTCAATTGCATGTTCTACCTATCTTCAAGAATATTCTATCTGATAAAATACAGTATTACTTAGATGATTGCTTCATCAGGAATTTTCCCTCTGCTTTCTATACCCCAAAATAAATACTTTTCATAATAATGATCTGACATCTAGCATCTATTGGGCTTTGTTGAGTAGTTTTGAAGTGCTTAATTCTTACGTACTTTGTTCTAATTTTGTTTTCCAGAAACCAAGTGATGAGGAAAAAGCTAATACTGTTCTTTAAAAGAAGAAATCATGCAAGAAAACAACGGGTAATATTCCCATGTTTTTGTAAAAAGAGCACATACGAGTTGGTTTTCTGTCTGGATCCTTGACTTGCATCCTCAAACATCATGTAAATCCTGTTGATCAGAAAAAGATCTGAAGCTAAAATTCTGTTGATTTATTGGAAAATAAACTGCAGATTTACAACTGGTTTGTTGATTATTTGACTGAAAACCATCTAAAGTACAGTAAGGAAAAAGCTTTTCTTCTTAAAGAGTATGTATGAAACAGACCCAATGAAAATCTTTAACTGTCATGCCTGGCCTCTCTCTGAATGTTTTTTTTAGTATAGAAGCTATAATATCTGAAAGAAAATAGGGCAGATTTCTCATTTTTGAAGTCTGACAGCATTTTTAATCCAACTCGTATATGTTAGATACCAGTATTAATTGATCTAATGTTTTGGTTGCATGCTCTTGTAGCAAGTGGCATACAAAGTCAAAAGGCTTTTTTTGGGTGGTGTCTGAAAGATCGTTATTGTTATTGTGAATAGCAGAAGATTATGTGTTGAATTGGAAGATCCCACCGTGAAAATGTAATGAAGTATTTAAATTCTTACAGTCCAGGGGGCGGGGGGGGGTTAAATAGCAGCAGCTCCCTACATATGGCTGAGATTGAGGGTATACTGTGATCATTCCAACCCCATTCTGTTAATTAAACATTTCAAATAAATAAAAACCAAACCAATTCCACTAATGAAAAGCCTGGTACCAGGAGATGCGAGATTTCTGGAAGGCAGCAATAGCAGTTGTCAAGTACTGTTGTGATGTATAAAGCAAAGAAATAGTGCGTACTATTCAAAATCTGCATTTTTATATCCACTTCCTCACCTTCTCTCCTGAAAATTGGGTGTGTGTCGTCTTTAAAATGGAAGCCACTAGAGCAGGAAAAATATGATTGTTCATTCTGGGAGCCTACCCATGTTATGTGGACTGATGTCTTAGTGCATTTTTGTTTAGTTCAAGGTTTACTTTTGGAATTTAACAGGAACAGAAAATCTGTCAACGTTATGATCAGCTGATGGAGGCATGGGAGAAGAAAGTTGACAGGATAGAAAATAATCCACGCAGGAAAGCAAAGGAGAGCAAAACAAGAGAATACTATGAAAAACAATTTCCAGAAATTCGGAAGCAAAGAGAACAGCAAGAACGATTCCAAAGGTATTACCATGGATTTGAAATATTCCTACAAAACACATCTTAGAACTTCAGTTTTAGAATTACTTACAAGAAAATTGCTTCAGCTTAATGGTTGTTTCATACACATTGCTTTATTCCTTTAAAAGGAGCATCAGTGTATCATACAATATAAACTAAAATGTTCTTTCATTTGTTCACTGTGTTTCACGGCATTCAGCTCATTTCACTTCACATCTTCAGGATCTTCATGATTGCCCTTGTATATCCACTGTCTTACGTCTCAGCCTTTCCTGTCTGTCCCTGTCAGCTTTGTGCTGACTTCATCAGTTTGGTGTCCTGTTGGGCTGCTTTAGTGATATCCAAATTGGTGCTTTCCTATCCCCCTTTTTTAGATCTGTTCAAACCCCATGTTTTCCAAAAGAAATACGGAAAAGGGGGCAATTATCAAAGGCTCATAGGTTGTGGTGTTCAGTGAGACTCGTGAGTTAAGCTGCTGAAGCGCACAGAGAGATTTGTGGAGCGTCAGTTTAAAGTGAGCCTGTTCATTTTGGGCCTACGCCCTATTTTATCCTTCTATTTTTCTGTCACTGGGTGTCTCCATTACTCTTGTGTTTCATGATCCCTATATTCATTAGCATACACACTCAAAAAATCATTTGACTTCTTTAATTAACTTTTGAGTGATCTTTTGTTCTACTTGCCATATAATTTTATTCAAGACACATTTGCTTTTTGAATTATGTGGTTTTGCCTATGAAGTATTAAGTCCCTATTATTTAATTTTAATCTATCAGACACTTTTTAAATGGAAATCATACAAAAAGTCTTAAAAGGAATGAAGTGCAATTCATTTGAGAGTTCACTGTATCTACGGTACTGTAGGAAGTACATTAAAATTAGGTCAGGTTTGATTCAGTTGTGTTAAAATGTGTTTATCCAATGTTTGAAATCATTTTAATACACCTTTGAGAGTTCAAGCCCTATAAAGATTTAATCCTACCCATCTGTCTAAATCACCTTAATTCATAAAACATAGGAAAAGCATCTGGTTTGCAGTTTATCGTAAAGGCTGCAGGATCTGGCTTTGGGGAGTGAGGAAAAGAGGAAAAAGTAAACTGTTAGAATGGAAACAGCACTTCTGTCTATGAGAAGCTTTTTTGCTTTAAAAACACATCTCACCTTTGTAACTGCAAACTGCTTGGGAAGGGGCCATCTCTTTACATTGTATTTGTGTTCTCTAATGTAATAGCATCTTTGTTTATAGCTGTGCTCCTAATACTGTTGGTGTAGAAATACTAAGGGTTGGTTTGTTTTCTTTTTTTGATGGATTTCATGCAAACTGATTACTTCAGTAAAATCTTTGAGCAAATGAGGGTGTTAATGTCTCTCAGTGATATTTATCTCTGAAATGCTTTTTGATCCATGTGCCCTAGTGTATTATGATGTTCTTAAGTGTAAAGATCACTGGCTGAAAAATTCTTCCAAATTACAGCTCTCCCTGTTAGTTGAAAAGTTGAAAAATCCCTTTTATTGTGATGAGAACTCAGCACTGTGTAACTTGATTAAATTGGTGAAGTTTCATGGTTTTTCTTTAAAAAAATAAGCTGTTATTCAGTGTCTCAGATGTATTGATTAAGATGGTTATTTCTGTGCCACTGATGAGCATTTCTCATACTCAGCAGAAGCATATTAATGTGCCCTAAAACACATGCTTGCAATGGAATCACTGATAACACTCCTTGGATGTTGACTCAAGCATTCCCTTCCTGTGAGCTTTGCACATTTGCCTCTAAAACTGAGCAGTTGTTTGAATTTGCAGTACATGAACAGAGGTTGTACCCTGAGACTACTTATGAAAGATCAGTCCTAACTGATCTGGGAGACTGGTAACAGGATTTTAAGGAGTTCTGAAGTTTGTCATTGTTGTGTACCAAATAGGAAAGTACAGCTCTTTTACACTTTATCCTGGCTACTTCTGTTTTCCCCTTATTCTAGAGTTGGTCAGAGAGGAGCTGGACTTTCAGCAACTATTGCTAGAAGTGAACATGAGATTTCTGAAATCATTGATGGACTCTCTGAGCAGGAGGTGAGGGTATTTTCTGTACTTTGCTGTAGCAGCACAGCAAATAACTCAATATCCTTTTATTGGTGGTGAAAGGTCTCTTTCAGAGGGTTTATTTTTTTGATAAGAGAAAACTTTGGGGGCTGGTTTGAGAGAACCTATGGGAAGTTTGGTTTGAAACAGGTCTTACAAATACTTTTATGGAGATTTTTCTCCTGTATCTTGTGTTCATTACAGGCTTGTTACAACCTGGTTTTTCACAGCTCTAACAAATGTGAAAACTCTTCCTTTCTAAAACCCCACATCCTTTGAAACACTGTTTCCTTTAGCTGACTGTGTAAATGTTCATTGGGGTAGTGGCAACTTTTCTAGAAGGGTTAAGTGGACAAAAAGAAGTTTCAGACTAACTTGTGAATGTATACTGTGGTGGAGCTTTAAAGAGTTGTGTAATTCAAGAACTGTGAACATTAGAAGCAAGTTTCTGTATTCTTTACTTTTTCTTTTATTCTTTGCCTGCAGAATAATGAAAAACAAATGCGTCAGCTTTCTGTCATTCCTCCCATGATGTTTGATGCAGAACAAAGACGAGTGAAGTTTATTAATATGAATGGTCTGATGGAGGATCCCATGAAAGTCTATAAAGACAGACAATTCATGAATGTCTGGACCGACCATGAGAAAGAGATTTTTAAGGAAAAGTAATGGGCTTTCTTATCTTTTATTTTTATTGCATTGCAAATGACAGTTAAATGCCTAACCCCCCAGTAAACATCAGTTAAATCGGGAATGCTGAAGCTTTTGTGCAGTAATATTTGATAATATTCTTTGTTGGATACATGAAATGTTGTAAAAGTTTTAGACTTTGCCACTTATTTTTCAACTGAGTAGGCTCATCACATACATTTAGTCCCTAGATAAGAAATTCTCTCAAAAGTAACTGAGTTCTGTGATGAGATTAAAGCGAAAAGAGTAGGTATATGATCTCATTATATCAGCTAATTTTAAGTACTTAGTTTGAAATTTGCACAGTTCAAAACCTGGGCTTTTTTAGACTAATTTCAGTTGTGTAAATCAAAGGCTTGCTGATGGAACAGATTGTTTGGAAGTCTGCTTTGCTTATTTGATCATGAATTATGTTGTTAAACTTCAATAATTTCTGATTTACAAAAGGTTTGTCCAACATCCCAAGAACTTTGGTCTAATTGCTTCCTACCTGGAACGAAAGGTAAGACCTTTATTAAGTAGAGCCTAGGGTGGGCTCCTTTACTTTGCAAATGTAAGTCATTTATCCCAGCATCATTTTCTCTTCCTGGGAAAAAAAAATAAAGTCCAAAAAAAGTTAACTGCTTTGACAGGATTTTACAATATTTGATCAGTAACATAATCAGTGCATGCATGTGTCTAATAAGAGTTAGTGAAATGACACTGTTGACAACAATAAAAGAGAATGACGCTTCACTGAGTTTTGATCGTACTTTCTTTTTGAAGCAGGTAAGCTTCTTTAACTATCTCTGTGCTTAGGTAAGGATATAATTGGCTCTTCTGAACTACTGTGCTAACTCTAAGAAGTCTTGCCACCACCTTTCAAGTCAGTGAGAGCCTACTGCTGGCTGAATTAGTCTTTAGAACTAGTTTTACTCTTTAGAACTGATTTTGCAGAACTGGTATAAGAATTAATGGAGAATTAGGATTTGCCAAGACTTACTACAGAATCTTGAATACGTACGGCTGTCATGATAAATAAGAGCTTTCAAACTTGCAAGTTATCTACTATAGATTAAATCATGCAGACGAAAGTAGCCAAGGGATATTATGAATACATGAGACTTGTTTAACGCTATAATTTTATGCATAGTTATATTGTTATATTTGTGTGTGAATTCATTTCCCTGCTGAGTAAACAAACCTAATGGAATTTTATTTTAGTCTAGGGACTGAATAGTTTAAGTGTTGAGAGATAGTAAATACCAAGCCTATAGTATCTTACAGGAGTAAAACCTAATCTTGTTTTTTAATTCTTTTTCACTTTAGAATGTTCCCGACTGTGTATTATATTATTATTTGACCAAGAAAAATGAAAATTATAAGGCCCTTGTGCGAAGAAATTATGGTAAACGCAGAGGAAGAAACCAGGTATCTAAAATTTATTCGTCACTTGGGTATTGTTATTCTATGGTTTCATATTTACAACTGCCTTACTGTCTGATACAGCAAGTATATTACATGCAGGGGGTGGGAGGTGAAGGAAAATAATCATTTTTTATTTACTGCTTTTTTTCCCTTTTTTAAATGTAAGTAATCATGACCTCAAAGGTGTTCTTGGTTGGTTTGTTTGTAATTCTGTGGAATATCTCCTTCCTATGCACATTTGTGTGACTTTTTAATATGACAGTTCATTTTATGGACCCTGCCATAGACATTGTATTGAATCCATCATTAAATCCTGTGTTGGGACCAACAGAAATTAGGTTTAGCGTATGACTTACAGTGGGCAAAATATAATCACTTCATAATCTCAGTGTTTGTCAAAAGGCAGAAATTAATAGTAATGTTTACTTGGTGGTCAGGCTCAAAGTCCAACTGGATTTCTCAATCCATAAGTTGTTTGTTTTTCTTGGATAATTCATAGAAACCAGAAAGATTTTGGTTACACCCCTGTACACAAGGGCATAGATTTGTGAATTTAGCTCACTAAAAAAGGGAAACACAAGGTGCTCTGCCTGACTTTGTAACTGCTCCTGTGAATGCTAATTTATATGTAAATAACTCGATGTGTGAGTAGGAACACTGAAGCTGCTGTTTGTACAACTCCAGTTACTTGCTCTTTGAATTTTACCAGGGTTATAGGTCTTAATTGCTAGTTGTTGATCCACATGAAGTATTACAGCAGATGACTAAAATTTGGGCAACTGCTAGACAGGCTTCATGTGTTCTCTGTTAAGGGTGAAGATAAGTGTCAGGCTTCGTAGGTCTGAAGAATGTTGGTGTGTACTTGAAAACTCAAGAAAATACTCTAAGCCTTCTAAATGGCAAATTTTACTGTATCTGGAAGCTTAAATTCAGAAGTATTGTCATTATTGTCTAGTAATGCTGTAGTAAGGAATTGCATAGTACCAAAAATCGTACTTGCATTTCTTAATTTCATTAATGATTAATTACCAACATCTGTAACAGCTAGTAAAAAAAGAACTTGGGAGTGTTGAACTGCCTTGCTTGCCAGAACTTTTATCTCACGGTTGCAGAATGCAGTTCATCCCCCTTCTCCCTCCTGTGCCCCAGCTTTGAAGCTGATATTTTTCATATCTCTGAGCAGCAACCTGAAACTTCCTTGCTGATCAGCAAAGGCAAGTCATGTAAGATTTATGATCTGCTTCAAGATGAGCTTATGCCAGTAACGGGTGCTTCAGTTTATAACTCATAATAGTTCATATATTTTAGTAAATTAGAAGGCAAGCAAGTGCAGTATTGCAGTGGAGAAGATATTAATCATGGTAATGATGGTGAAATCCTTCAGAGAATGTAGTGAGTACAACTTGACTCGAGTTTCAGTGTGGACACCTTTACTTTGGAGGAGCTAAATGCTTAATTGCAACCCATCAATAGATGTAAAGCTTATTAAATTCTGATACTATTTTGTGTCCTCAGATATGTCTAGGAAGGGCTTTTTATAAAATGCTACCTAAACTCTTCCAGAATGTTCACTGAGACAACTAACAAGTGTGTCATAAACCAAATATGACCCTTCAAATGAAGGGCAAGTTTTTAACGGATTATCAGAAGAAAGCATGGCTATATGATGCTTTTGCATTGATAATAGAGAATTCCTTAAATACTTCCTTGAATTGAGGTTCTCTCTGAGTAAAGTTTCTCCTAGAGAAGCAGTGGTGGGTCAGGGCTGTGTTCTTGTGTTCTGGCTGCCTGCTCAGCACAAGTGCATGGCCGCAGATGGAGCCGTGTGCCTTCAGAGCAGCTGGTACATCCAGTGATGTGACGAGACAGAAATTCGCTGGATGTCTGTGCCGGCCAATCAAGCCTGGCTCGGTGGGGATTACCTCTGGTGACTCCGGTGAGATTAGAAGGTTGTATGTGAGATGGGCAACTCTGCTGTAGGCAGCTTAAGTGGCAGAATGACACAATTTCCTGGAATAAACACGTTGCTGGGTCAGGCGGCCTCTGCTAAAGAGCTGTGTGATGTCGGTGCTGGTGTGGGTTTTGTCCTTTTGAATTGAGCCCTGAGTTAAAGCCCGTCCCCTGGCCTGGATAGTAAAAGTTGTAATCAACAGATGAATGTGCAGGTACGTCGCCGACCGAGGCTTCCACTGTTTTAAGGTTTGTGTTTAACCTGCACTTGACCTGTTGGTATGCATGTTAAAAAAATTCACTGTGAAATAGAGAACCCTGTTATTTGCAAAGTGTGATGTTAAATTACTCAGGCAAAAAGAACAGAGAATTTTCAGCAACTTTTCTAAATAGATTATATGTAAAATACAAATTTTATTTTTTAAATATTTTCTTTTGTTCTTGAAAATGCGTTTTTTAACTCTGCTTTTGAGGCCAATCTAGCACGATGGAAATAAATTATCTTAGCGTGTCTCTGACATCTTGTTCTTGCATAATCAAGTAATGGCAGCATCTTAAATGCTAATCATTTGCAGGAAAATGATAGTGGTTAGTGTTTGGGCTTTCTGCTCCAGTTCACATGATTAAAATGTCAAAACCAAGGCCTTTTTGTGACTATTTCCAGCCTCAGTTTTGTTAGTGAAACACTGACACCTGCTGCTGCACTTACAGGAAGGCTGGTTCTTCTGTTGAAAAAGAAAAGCCTATTTTGAGGAATTTTTCAATGGATTGTAAAATCTGAGTTAATGAAGTCCTAGATCAGCAATCTCATAGTTCTCTGTCAGTGTTTTTCCGTGAATTGCCAAGCGTACTTTGGGAAATTGTTTGAAATGTAGCTTTATATAAATATTACATATATCTTGCTTTTTGAAGTTGATTTGCAGAGTCTAATGCCTGGTAAGGAACAGATTGGTTCTGCACAGACCATATTTGAATGAGACCATCTGGGTATTGCAGTTCTTCTGAATGGATGACTCATTAAAGGCAGTGTTTTTTTAACCCATTCAAACCCCTTTAGTTTAAACTCCTGTGTGGCTATATCCAACTCCCCACCTTCTCTTATATTCTGTAGTTTCTTATGAAAACATATTTAAAGAATATGTCAGAATTTCAACTGTAATCATTCATTTTAAATAAGCTTAGTTATTTTCAGAGAGGAGGAAGAGAGTGCTTTCTTCCTCCTCCCACTTCCTTTGCCTTTAAATGGAGGCCTGCCTGCTAAAACCTCACCTGCAGCCTCAGTTTCTTTTCTCAATCTTTCTGTATGGTGCCTCGTACAGAAAGGTTGGATTTTTTTGTGGCGCTCGAGTCATCACCTTGTTACAGAGACTCTTCAGCATGAATGTGCAGTATGGATTTAACATCAGATGTTTGATGGGTTGCTGGCATTTGAGGCCCATCACCAGTATTCATTCATGTGTTGTTTGCTTCATATAAGGGTTCTGGTAATTTAGGGAGTAGGCTACTACACGGTTTATCTAGTGCTAACCAACTGCTCCTTGGGATTTTAGTCTGGAGAGGAAGAGGTTTGCAAGTGAGCTATGGACATAGAAATGCAGCAGTGTTGGAAATGAGATGCTTTGGCCATGAACGGATACATCATTATGGATGGCAAAAAGCAATATTTAGTCTACTAAATATATTTTAGGGAGGATAACAACACTAAAACTTAATGAAACCTTTTCTGTACCCACATTTGATAGATCTTTCCTGATACTTTTTGTTTGGCTTTCCCTGTATGAGTAGTGGCTTTTTTTCGAATGCTTTCTTAAAACATCACAGGATACTTGGCTTGCCTAATGTTAGGCCACCTCTAACAGTGAAGTCAGACAGGGAATGCAAAAGCTTTTTTTGTGTGTGATAGGGAATAGCAAAAACAATGCCACAGTTTTTGTACAATTTTTTTTTTTTTTTTAATTTTTAGATTTATTTACTTATTTTTTTAGCACTGTAAGGGACCATGTTGGGAATTCTTTGTGATCACATTCAGTAAGAGAATTTTCTTCTATTAATTCCTGTTTGCACCTTTTGGAAAGTTTAAATCAAATTTGTGTGCTTTCTAAAATAAGATACCCTTGCACATGGTAGTCATCTGAATTGTTTTGAAAGACAAGGAGTGAGAGTCTCTTAACAAGGAATGTGTAGTGTTTTGTGTTGTTTTCCTTAGGATAAGAACGGGCGATTTGTCATTTGTCAGTGCTTAATGTGCTCGTAAAACTATGATCTCAATAGAGACTACAGTTAAAAAAAAAAAATAAAAGTCTAGGCTATAATTTTCCTTCTGCAAATTCACTGGAAGCCTAAATCTAAAAAGCGTGACCCAATTTTTTGAACATTTATATTTCTTAATTACTAACGACAGCGTTGAGAAGGTGACTTAGAGTTGGTCGTAATTTTCATGCTATGAGATCTGCTTCCAAGTTGTGAGCTATCATGTTTCACTGTTTCAAAATGGACAACGTTAAAAATAAAATTTGAGAGGAGCAACAGCATTACTATGCAAGATGTTGGTCAGACCTCTCATTTTTAGTGTGGCATAGAAGAGCACATGTAATAGTTGACACATGTACGTGTATGTTGTAACCTCTTTGCTCACTTTCAAAAGAAGCTTGTATGAGGTGCTGCATCTTTGTGTGATCAAGTTGTTATAATACATAAATGGCATTTCATTTCAGCAGCAAATTGCTCGTCCTTCTCAAGAAGAAAAGGTAGAAGAGAAGGTAGAAGAGGAAAAAGCAGACAAAGCAGAGAAAAAAGAGGAGGAAAAGAAAGATGAGGAAGAAAAGGATGAGAAGGAGGAATCTAAGTAAGTATATGGACTGAAAATGCATTCATTCAGCCTACATTGCATTTTTCTATTTTGCAAGGATCAGAAGGATTCGCATTAGCCTGCAGTGAAATCTGGACTGAAAACTGTTCCTATTTAGGTTAGGGTTTGTGCATTAAACAATTTTTTTAGGTGTCTGAATTTCTCTGTCTTGCTGAACTAATCAGAGTGGTGGAAAAAGCCATGGGATTATTTTTTTTGCACATGTAATAATATTCATAACTTGTTGGTTTAAACTTTTTTTTTGCATCACAGTTCATATTTTCTTTGAAGTTGATTATATGTATCTGTGTTATTCTCTAGCAACTCTAAACTGTGGGCAGTAAGTGAATTCTGTTTCACTAAAGGCGTCTTTTGGAGTTTTGTTTGTGGTTTGGTTTGGATTTATGGGAGTTTTTTACATTGGTATTCAGGAATAGCTGTCCACGATGGCTATCTGAATGTGACTGAATTCTATTTTAACTAATCCCAGAGAGAATACCAAAGAAAAGGACAAAACTGAAGCTGCACCAGAGGAAACGGAGGAAAGGGAGCAGGCTGCTCCTAGGGGCCGAAAAACTGCCAATAGCCAAGGTCGTCGTAAGGGCAGAATCACCAGATCAATGACAAATGAAGCTGCACAAGCAAATGCTGCTGCAGCTGCAGCCACTGAAGAACCACCTCCACCTCTTCCACCCCCACCAGAACCTTGTGAGTAGCATTTATAGGACACTCGGGGACCCATCTGGTCATCAGGCTATTCACTGACATCAAGCCCTTTTCTGTACATCTTTTTTCTTAGGGTTGCTTGTATTTTGTGGCTGTGTGGTACTGTTAAACTTCATGAGTGTGACTTCATGAATAGTATATATGTAATCAGATGACTGTTAGAATCGTGTGGGGGTTGGAAAAGGTAGTTTGACTGTATTTTCTCTCTTCACAGAGTTAATGATGGATCTGTAGAGATTCAAAAGCATTTGACACAGATTTACTTAGACGCTGTAGCTCACAGAGGATATTGTTAAATAAGTAGGCCTGATATTTGAGGACTTTCAGGAGTTTCATAAGCTGAAATAGATCCGAGTAGGTTGTTTTTTGTTGTTTCTGCATTGGATGGCAAGAGGCTTCTTTAAAATAAAACGTGGCTTTCTTGGCACATGGTTAAAAAAAAGACTGCTGCGTTTGAATGCATTTCTGAAAAGACTAACATAATTGGTGGTGGTGCAGAAATACCAGCAAACAGAGTACCTTGTGGCTAGTAAATAATTACCCAGGATGGCAGGGCAGGTTTGGTTGTGTTGTTTTTTCTTGCAGTGTTCTGCTGTGGCAGTTTGCTCCTGGTTCCTCAGCTCTTTTGTTGCTCAGATATTCTGAGTATTCTAAAGAACAAAGTGGGTAAATCAGTTCTTATTTAACTGTAAACATCAGAGATTGTTATAGACATTCTTGCTCAGTTGATGTGGTGGGATTTTGTCAGCAGCTAGACTAAGGCACTAGTGGGCTTTTTTCTTTTTTTTTAACCATTTTTGAGGTGTTCTCTGGAAAATCCAAAACAGGTTTTCAATAGATCAGATGCTTTAGAGTGTCCTACCTTTTATTATTTTTTGATGAAAGTTGTGGAAAGATCCATGTTGCATGCTGTGCATAATGGCATCATTTATGAAAAGGAAATGGAGGCTGTGGCAGCTTAATGCCATACAGAAATTTAAACAGAATGATACAAATCCAGATATGTGAAAGAGAACTATTTTGTGTTGAATTCTACTTAGTTTCATGCTTGTTTTTACTTAATATTTTTTGGTTTTCTTTTATTTTTCATTGAGGTGGTTCCTGCTAAGCAGCTTTCTTAAATTACTTGAACAAGTCTTAATGTAAATAGATAGTTGGCTGGGGGATGCATGATTGCCATAATAGTGAATCCTGGTCCTTTCTCTGATCAGTGGGTTTTTTTTTTCTTTTTCAGCTTCTTCAGAGCCTGTGGAGACATCCCGCTGGACAGAAGAAGAAATGGAAGTTGCTAAGAAAGGTAAACCTTGTAAAGCTTTTGACTTACGTCTGAACACTTGTTTTCACACAATTACAATAATTTCCTGAACTACAGAATATGAGTGCTGTGATATTTTGCAGCACTACCCTGAATGAATAACTCAAGATTTGCAGAAAAAAAGCAAACATCTTTAACAGGCAAAATCAGTTTTTTGAGATATACATTGACTATTTTCATATGGCTTACTTAAAACTGTTTGATGTTGTACTTGGTCCATGGAATACAACATGGACTCACACATGTCCATGTTGTGAAGATGTGTGTGTCATGTAACTTCTTAAAGTAATGTGCTCCTGTATAAGACATTCTGTTCATAGAAAAGCTAATGTAGTTTGTAACTTGTCTATTCATAGAATCATAGAATAGTTAGGGTTGGAAAGGACCTTAAGATCATCAAGTTCCAACCCCCCTGCCATGGGCAGGGACACCTCGCTCTAAACCGTATCACCCAAGGCCTCGTCCAGCCTGGCCTTGAGCACTGCCAGGGATGGAGCATTCACAACCTCCCTGGGCAACCCATTCCAGTGCCTCAGCACCCTAACAGGAAAGAATTTCCTCCTTATATCCAGTCTAAACTTCCCCTGTTTAAGTTTTAACCCATTACCCCATGTCCTATCACTACAATCCCTAATGAGGAGTCCCTCCCCAGCATCCCTATAGGCCCCCTTCAGATACTGGAAGGCTGCTATGAGGTCTCCACGCAGCCTTCTCTTCTCCAGGCTGAACAGCCCCAACTTTCTCAGCCCGTCTTCATATGGGAGGTGCTCCAGTCCCCTGATCATTCTCATGGCCCTCCTCTGGACTTGTTCCAACAGATCCATGTCCTTTTTATGTTGAGGACACCAGAACTGTACACAATACTCCAAGTGAGGTCTCACAAGAGCACAGTAGAGGGGCAGGATCACCTCCTTCAACCTGCTGGTCACGCTCCTTTTGATGCAGCCCAGGATATGGTTGGCTTTCCGGGCTGCAGGCGCACACTGCCAGCTCATGTTCATTTTCTCATCAACTAGCACCCCCAAGTCCCTCTCCGCAGGGCTGCTCTGAATCTCTTCTCTGCCCAACCTGTAGCTGTTTGCCAGATACTGTTACCTGTAAAATATCATTTGGCAGATACTGTTACCTGTAAATTTTATGCATAAAATCAGCATTTTAGCAGAAAATTTTTACATATCATCAGCAGCAAAGAGTTAAGTTTGAAGGCTTCATAAGCGGGCATTCAGGTTGACACCATTTTTTTTCCCTCCGTAAGTAGTTATCAAGTACATTGTTATAGTGAGAATTCTCTTAAGGACACTACAGTACTTCTGTATCTTACTGTCCCATAGATATTTATTTAGGGTTTTGAGAGCTGAATTATATATCATAGTAAATATTGATTCTTGTATGTTGGAACAGGTCTAGTGGAACATGGACGAAACTGGGCAGCAATTGCCAAAATGGTTGGGACAAAAAGTGAAGCTCAGTGTAAGAACTTTTACTTCAACTATAAAAGGAGACACAATCTGGACAGCCTACTCCAACAGCACAAACAAAAGGTAAGGATGATGGGTGCTGAATATTTTGCAAGGGAAAACTTGGCATCTTTCTGAAGTCATTCATCATGCTTCACTAAGACTGTTTTGCAGTCACCACTTGGATCTTTGTTGTGACACGCATCTCCTAGAAAAGGTGGCTGCCCCTCACTGACCTGTGACACTAATCAATTCTTGCTTTAACGTTCAATAGAAAATTTTCTATCAGAACACTCAAGCCTGAAGAATTCTTTAGTGCTCTGAAAACCACATTCCTCATAAGTACATCAGCAACTATAGAGATTCAGGTCATCACTATAAAGCAGTTACCTTGAAACACAGTAATCACTAACCTTGCAAAATGGAGCAAGAGAATTGGCAGAAGCCCGGGAACTGAAAGTTTTGGGGCATTAGAGTGGAATTCTGAGTGTTGAACTCCTTTAAAATCAGCGTTATCCTAGTCTTCTCTCACTTAAGTGAAAGCGTCATTATCGGTGTTTGCTGCAGTACTTCTGTTGTCCGCCAAACCTATCAGCAAAAGCTGGCCTGAGATTCAAAGTGTGCTCTTGTGAATGAATCTGTGCTAAACAGAGTTTGTCTTTCATTTCAGCCTCAGATTGATAAATGAGAATGCATGTAAAATGAAATAATATTTGCAAACCTAACTGCTGTGTTTTTACCAGTCTTCACGAAGGCCCCGTGAGGAGCGAGATGTATCACAGTGTGAGAGTGTAGCTTCAACTGTGTCAGCTCAGGAGGATGAAGATATTGAAGCATCTAATGAAGAAGAGAATCCAGAAGACAGTGAAGGTAACTTTTTTCCTGAAAGGCAACTTGTGCATGCACAGAAAGGGACCTATGTTTTGTGCCAATTATGTGCTCAGAAAGTTATGTTCCACTTCATAATGTAATGCTCAAATACATACGGCTAAATGTGGTTATTTTTGTTTTTAGTTGTTGGTATTGTTTTAAGCTGCAGTGTGTATGTGTGCAATTCAGCAAGCTGTCCATTTCTACAAGTGAAAATTAATTACTGGTTTTACAGTTGATAGGTTAAAAATGATGAATCCTTATTGCATCCATTTTCTTTAACAAATGTTAAAATATTGATGTTGGAACTAGATAGTCTTAAGGTCCTTTCCAACCCAAACCATTCTATGATTCGATGATGTGGTTCTAAGGAATGAAGAATCATATCAGAAGATAAGACTTGAATATGTCATCTTTGTTCTAGGTGTTGCCATAGTTTTTCATAAATGTTTCTATTTTTCTAAAAGCTATCTATAATATAATGGAGTTCATGAACTAGGCTGAAGAGAGGAGGAAGGTTCTTTACTACAAAAATCAATACCCTTCTATAACTGGTATCTAGGTGTCAATGCTGTTTACACTTTCACAGTGCAAAGAAGGAATTTTCAATAAAACAGTGGTGATTCACAAAGGAAGTAAGCTAGAACTGTTAACTTAGAGCAAGATTTGCAAGTCAGCATGTCTACAGGTATGACTGATTTTCTTGTAAAACTTTCGTTTTCACCAGGTGCTGAAAATAGTTCTGATACAGAAAGTGCTCCATCCCCAACTCCAGCAGAACCTGCTAAACCAAGTGAAGAAACTCCCTCTGAGAGCACTGCTTCAAAAGTAACCCCTGAGGTGACAACAGAGCAAGAACCTACCATTAAACCTGCAGCCAGCACATCTCCCTCTTCAACAACCCAAAGTGTATCAGCAGCTGAAAATCAGAACCCTGAACCACAGGTTAAGGAAGAAATAAATAATGAGGCAGAAGAGCCTATGGAAGTTGACAGTAGAAGCCATCCGGTTGAAGCTAAGCCTGTGATTACTCTCCCAGTGCATACCAAAGTAGAACCTGTAGAGACTGAAATGAGGCTACCAGAGAATATTCAAGTGAAAATAGAGAGTGATACCAAAGAGAGGGAAATGGAGAAACCCAAGGAAAAGTCAGAACCAGAGGAAATGGACTATAGTCTGTCACAACAGGTTAATACAGCAAGACAAGAATCCCATTCAGATAATGATTCAAGTGCCACCTGTAGTGCTGATGAGGAAGTTGATGGAGAACCTGATAGACAAGGGTGAGTTTAATTATTTAGCATTCAAATATTGCCATCTATTATTTTTATAGTGTGATTGGTTAGTGTGGGACAGTTTATGGGCTCTCCATTCCCTTTAGTAAAAAAACTGTTTGAATGTAAAACCAGAAATGTGCAGATGAAGTTGTAATTGATTCTTGCTCTCACAGTTTAGTAGAATGCATGCAAAACTCCTTGAATTTGACAGGGAAAACAGCCTGAATATATCTTTTAGTAGGTGATGAAAATTGCTTAAAAAAAGATAATAACCTAGGGGCATAAAATATTGACATTTTAGTTACCTTTTAACATTCCCTGTTTATTTGCTTGTATAACCTCTGGAGTCCTGCACCCAGTTACTGTCATAGAGCCGCGCTGTATCAATCAGTAGAACTGAATCTCTTGAAGGCTCTGAATGATAGAGTAGTGGAAGTATTTCTCACTCTTGCCAGTCAGTGTCCCTAAATTCATGGGCAACTGTCCTGAGAAATGGATGGCCACTTTCTTCAGTGTCTTCGTGTAAATTACCTAGTTCCTGGAAACTTGGCCCTAAACATTCTGGATAATCCACATGAGTATATAGGGCTGTAAATGGACAACACTGCATGTCTTTGGAACCATTTATCTTTTGGGGATGGTTGACCACTGATAATTTTTGAAGTCTTTTTAGTATTCTCTTGGTGCAATTCCTGTGCAACCATGGCATAACACCAGACCCTGTACCCCTCCCTCTCAGTGGCCTTAATATACACACAGTACCAAGTTAAATGTCAAAAGTATCCAGTGTCATTGTTCTGCATGTGGTCTGTGGAAAAGTGCAGTTGATGGTGTTTTTACACTCTCTTTCATTTTCAGACATCAGCTTTCCACTTCACAAATATATTAGTCCTCCATGTGAAAGTAGTCTGTTGTATACTACTCTTCTTTTATTTCCTGTTCTATATTTAGTGTTTCCTATCTATTTTTTTCCCCAAAATTATTCTTTATAAAGAAGGTTGCATTGTTGCAGTACTTTGCATACAGAAACTGCATACATGAATTTCTGGTATGGAGGTTCTCAACACTTCTTTTGGTGTTTCTGTGTATTATAGAAATACAGCAGCATCTGTTGCCGCTTCTACCGGATGTGCTGTGGGACAAAACAGACATTATTCTGATCATTCAGCTATTCGTCCAGTGTTCTAAATGTGTTGGTTTTTAGTAAGCTGAGAGGCATACTTTTGCCTCTAAATTTATTAAGATGTTTAATCTTTGTCTTTATGGTGATTTTTTTTTAACTTCATTCTGTCTCCCATTCCAGTATCTTCAGCAGGGAGTCAAAGCCCTCACTATTAAATCCCACTGGGTCAATACTGGTATCATCCACGATAAAGCAAGGGCAGATGGACCTGCAACAGCTTCACCACCGAGCTGCCGTCATACCACCTATGGTATGGGCTTTTTAGGTGATATTTGAAGGAGTATCTGTTGTCCCTAAAACTATTTGCAATACTACAACAGCAAACAATTGTGAACAAATGAAGAAATACATCATTTGCTTTGTTATCATACTTTTGAGGGGGGGAAATAAATTAAATACACAAGTAGTAGCTTACAAAACAAGTGTGGGTCACTTGAAACGCTCATACATAAACTGCAGCTGCTGCAGTGGAGTCATTGAGCAAGATAGTTACTTTAGTAAGTACCTGTATTAATGTACTTGATGCTAATACCTTCCTGCCCTTGTAGGTTTCTTGCAGTCCCTGTACTGTTCCCGTTGGAACACCAGTGAGTGGTTATGCGCTGTATCAACGGCACATTAAAGCAATGCATGAGTCAGCGCTGCTGGAAGAGCAACGCCAGAGGCAGGAGCAGCTGGATATGGAGTATCGAAGTGCTGTAAGCCCTTGTGGTACTTCCAAGAGCCCTAATGAGTGGGAAGGTAGGCGTTTTCACATCTGTCACGGAAACAGCCCTGCATTTTATGTCTCTGTGTTACAATGCTACCTCATTTAAGAATGGAAGTGTACCAATAATTAAGTACTTTTTGATGGCGTTTGATTAAAAGTACCTGTCTGCTACAGAGAACCTGCTGCAGTTACAGCGTTGTTACAAATACCATGTAGCCCCTTTAGATAAGGCAGAAAAAAATGGCTCTATTTGAGTGAAATTCAAACACAGAATCATAGAATAGTTAGGGTTGGAAAGGACCTTAAGATCATCAAGTCCAAGCCCCCTGCCATGGGCAGTGAGAGAGATTGAGAAAGATTAGGTTTGTAGGTGAGAGGAATCAGATAAGTGCATGTTCTGGGGGAGCACCTTTCAGAAACCTAAGACGAAGATGGGAGAGAATTGGTAAAGGAGTATGAGCACAATTAAAAGGAATGTTTTACTGCACTGGAGTACATACATGGACATTGAACCGTGGAGTAGGGCATGAAAGAACTGTCATACTCCAGCCTGTCTGTTCTCAGAAGGGCTGCATGAAAGGTTCTCCTGGGGGTATGATGGTTGGTTGCTTTTGTATGTATAGAGGCTATGTGAAGTAAAGGTTTGAAGTGAACTCTGCAATCTAGACCTGTGTTTCCTGAATGTGGCTCTTAGTGTGACCTCAAGTAGACAACAATGCTGAAACTGTTCACAGAATGTGTCAGGGTGACTAAGTAAGGATGTATTTGTTACAGTTGCTGGTTACAGAAACGTGATTCACATGGAGATTGTAGATGTTACACTGTCCAAATTGCTGCTTAAGAGGCACAGGATGCGTTTATTAGCTTTCCTTATAAACGTTCATATTATGGGTTTTCTCTGGGTATGTTGGTTATATTTTCATTCTTTGAACTGAAGCTATTTCATCAACAGCTTGCAAATTACAAACAGCTTAGCAGAATGTTGTTTTTTTCTGTGTGCAAGAAAAGCATATCCTATGGGATGCCCAGTTCCGTACCTGAGAAGTGGGTAACTTTTACCTCACCTTTGCTTACTAGAAAAGAATAGGTCCACAAACGTGTACATTGTAACATGGAAATAAACTAAGATTAATGTGCCAAATGTTACAATGTTAGAGATATTATCACCTTTGCATAATTCTGCATTCTTAGATCTTTATATGCTCGTGTGTTCTGTTGTCTCCATAGTATTAGCAACAGAAACTATCGCGTTCTTTGAAACTCAGATAGATTTAATATGCATAACTTTTAAATTATGTCATGAAAATGCTTCACCTTTATTTTTTTATTAAAGTAAAATGAAAGTAACAACTTTTTTTTTTTTTTTTTTTTTGCCTGTTAAAATAGCGAGAAGGGAGCTGGAAGATCGGGGAGGGAGGGTAAGATTGTGGGTTTTGGAAGTTGCTTCTTTAGGTGGAAGGTCTGGGGTTGCTTAAAAGTACCATTTAACTGAAAAACTACCTGAATAACTCTTGGCATTGGCAGTACGCAATTATGAAGTGTGGGAAAGTTCTGGGGTGAAGTCTCTGCCAGCAAAAATCAAGGTGGTTATTGAGGCAAACAGAGAGGGAGGGATAACATGGTTTATGTAAATGGGTTCTACAAGCCTGGACATCTTAGTCTGAAAACTAAAAGGGACTGAGATTGTCATCAGATGATTACAACAGCTACTTCCTAAGATACGCTGTGCATGTGAACCTTGTGCACCAACTGCTGCATGCAGCAGAGAGCCCACAGACTTGTTTAGAAACATTGTATTGCATACATCAGAACACTGGTGATGTTGTGGAGCATCTTGTCAAACTAGAGAGCCTGACAACCCACACAATACCACGAGATAAAATATTAAAGATCCTTTCTTTATGGAGATTAAAGATACAACTTTACAGCTGCACTAGACTTGTTCTGACTTACAATTTTGAATACTTAAATTGTCCATTGCCAGAGAAAAGGAATTTCTGAAGTTCTGGGACTGGATTTTTAATTGCCTAAATTAAAGAAAAATGTATTTTTCCCTTTAAGTACCACTGATGGGCAATATTAGTATTTGAAATCTGATTTGTAACTTCTTCGGGCAAACAAGGAAGGGAGGCTTCTGTCTGGTGGGATTGGTGTGTAAGTCTGGCTGCATTTGTATGTAAATCTGGCTGGTACACAGGATTTGGAAAGGAATCTTCCTGAAATGAAATCTTTTTCAGTGGTAGAGCTTTCACTTGGAGGACCTAAAGGATTCAAATACTATTTTTCACATACAGAAAGCATGAGAAAGTTTTTCAAAGCTTTGGATATAGAAGTATAGAAGCAAGAGTATATTAAATGAAGCTGTACCTTAATACTACATTTAATGGTAACATTTCTACCTGATGAGTACATCTGACATTTGAGCAGGCCCTGTGTTAAAATTGTGCTGTAAACTGAACCTTGTACCTTCAGTTTCTAATCTGGAGTTTTTTTCTTTCTGATAACCTTAATCTTCACAGGAAAACCAGTGGCCTATATGCCTTATGCTGAGGTCAAGCGAGCAATAGAACAGGAAGCACAAGTGCAAAACACAGCAACAAGGTCAGCATCACCGTACAGGCTGTCTCCAAGAGAAGTTAATAAAGCCTCTCCCCAGCCTGATATGAATGCAGCTCGCTACAGTGTCCCACCAGGTAAGTACTTTGTTAGGTATCACAGGGATATGTAGTCTTCCTTGGAAGCTGGACTGCTGAAATTTGATATAGTATCAAATTAGTATCTAAATGCTTTGTAAATTAACAAAAGAAGAAAATAGATTGTTTTCCTTGTGCATGTAAACTTCAAGCTTCTTTGAGATTGTATTTTTATTATTTGTTGCTGCATTAGCTGCATGACACGTATTAAAGCAGATGGGTGATCTGGAAAGTGTTAGAACAGCGCTGGGACACAGTCATCAAGAGTTTTTCAGCTTAATACAAGTACTGTCATATTCATGGGTGGCCTTTCTTACCAAGGGAGGAGTTAAGGAAAATAGAAAGCTGCCACTATCTTTGGCATTAGTTTCATACTTGTAATTGCTTAATATTATAATCTGAGTGGTTTATAAAACAGTGAAATAACTGACAAATCTTAATTGTGAAACTTGGGTTATTGCTTTTCCCTTTGGAGTGTAATGTCATGCTAAGAAAAGACAAAAGCAGGGAAGCTTAGATTATACTTGACTCAGTTGCATTCCCTTCAAAGAATAAGAACTTTCTTTAAAAACAGGAAAACAGCAAAAAATCTGAATTTGCCCTGGGCTGCTGTTTGTAAAAAGTTAGTTTTCAGAGTCTGCACTTCTACAGTGCAGCTTTTGCCATTTCTTTTTGAACTTTTATGCCAGGTTAGATATTTTCCATTCAGTTTCTATGCATAACATACACTTGGACATAATGATTATCAGAGCTGTAAATACAGCCTAGATAGCTTTTGGGTATTGTATTCCCATCAGAAATTGTTAGATGAACTTGCTATTTTTGTTCCTCTTGTCTCTCTAACAAGTAGGAGAGCTGAAACAGACTTTATTTTTAACATACAATGTTTTCTCCCCAAGTTCTTCAGCCAGCACCTCACCAAGTAATAACCAATATACCTGAAGGTGTCCGCCTTCCAACAACCAGACCAACCAGACCACCACCACCACTCATTCCATCCTCCAAAACAAGTGTGCCATCAGAAAAGCCTTCTTTCATCATGGGAGGCTCAATCTCACAAGTAAGAGAACTATTATTTGAAAACCTCTGCTTACATCAATATTTGCACTTTTGCCAGCCTTCAACATCTTGTACTGGCTTATGTGTTCACAGCATTAACACTTAAGACATATACATGCCAATTCTAAAAGTCCAGGAATTACAGATGCTTTAGAAAATAGAAAATCTTGCAGTTATTTACATTTAGGAACATGGCTGAAGATCTCCAGCTTGGGTGAAGTGCATCTCCAAACTAACTTTGATACTTTGCAGTGGTGTACTGTAGCATTTTAAGATAGGATCGTAGTAGTATTAGCATTCTCCTGTAAACACAGATGTGAATCTTCATTCCGCAGACAAGAATTAACATATATTTGTTGTTTCAGGGAACACCTGGCACTTACTTAACATCCCATAGTCAAGCTTCCTACACCCAAGAAACTGCAAAGCCATCAGTGGGTTCTATATCTCTTGGGCTGCCAAGGCAGCAGGAGTCAGCCAAATCTGGTAAGAAAAGAAAAAACTGACGTGTTTTATGTAGACTATTTAATGACTTGTAATTAAAGGGAAAAAAACCCAAACAAAACTTTTCTTCTTTTTTTTCTTATTCTGAATAGCTTCCCTGCCCTATATCAAACAAGAGGAATTCTCTCCCAGAAGCCAGAATTCCCAACCTGAGGGACTCCTGGTCAGGGCACAACATGAAAGTGTGGTTCGAGGTAAAGAAAATCACACAGATTTAGAAACCTTGTCAGAGCCTGGGAAAACTGAGAGAATTAACTTCTAGAGCTCAAACTGCTGAAGTGTTATTTTTAAGTATTACATGATTATATAAGTACCATAAGATTATATGATTAATCTGCTCCCTGTTTCCAATGCATGTGTATTTGTAGCTAGCGCCTCCTGTCTGCATGTCTCATTTCAAAACAGTTGTCTCAACGCATGCCAGTTTCAAAATGAAGCTGCTCACTAGAGCATATGCAGAACAATACATGTCAAATATCCAAATACATCAAAAGAAAAGAAACTAAATTCCATGGAATAATACTGCAAAAGGCTTTTGGTCTGTAAAAGAGGAAATTATATGACTGCTCAAATGCATGCTGTTAAACTGATTTTTTCTCCATATTTTAATGTAAGCCAAGAGTTTGCACTAGAGTTTTTAATTGTTTCAACTAGAGTAGCTATTTTTTTGTTATTCTCTTATGTATCAGGATGTCTTATTTCAAATCAGGTACAGCAACGATACAGGAGGGAAGTATAACACGAGGAACTCCAACCAGTAAAGTATCTGTTGAGACCATTCCTTCTTTGAGAGGCTCCATAACTCAGGTATTTTTTCTGCTTATTGAGAAGGCTGAGGCAAACCTGCATATTTAAGCTGTCACTGTGGATATATTTGCGTGACTGAAAAAGTGAATTATTATCACAAGTAGGAACTTCCTTGAATAAAGAAATTTTAATACAATCAGATGGTCAAATCCTACTATTGCTGAAGTCATCATTACCATGCTTTCATCTTCATATATATGAGTCTTTAAATAAAGCCACCAGAGCCTTTGGTAAACCTAGCTGAAGGCTTATTAAGAACTTCCATAGTGCTTGATGAAGCAGGTGGCTTTCTACATCTAAAAAATGTTGTGGGTTTAGGTTGGGTTGGTTTTTTTTTTTCCCTTTACTGCTATTATCTTAAATAAGTGCCCATGTTCTGAGTTACATTTGATTGATTGATTGAATTGCAGGGTACACCAGCTCTGTCCCAGGCTGGCATAGCAGCTGATGCATTATTGAAGGGAACCATCACTCGGCTAGCTACAGAAGACAACAGCCCAGAAAAGTGCCGAGAGGAAACTTCAGCCAAAGGCCATGTTATTTATGAAGGCAAAAGTGGGCATATTTTATCTTATGATGGTGGGTATTTGTATATTATACCTGATTAAAGGCAAGACTGCAGCATGTTCTGCTTTTATAATCCATAGCTGAATTGTATCTGTTTCCAAGTGGTGGATATAAACCTTAATCAGTGGGGTGCCATCTGGGAGAGGTATTGACCTACATGTGTTTTTGAGAGTCTAAGAATTAAAGTGATTCAGAAATTGTGGTGGTGTTCTGAAGAGTCTCTTGTACTATGTATTTAAAATAATAGTTAAGCTGTTTAATTTCTTTGCCATTTATTTCCAGTTTGTCATGGAAGATTTTTATTTTGAAAGGTTAAACAAGTTTGAAATGATCTGTATTAAAATCAGAATAAATGTATCCTTTAACTTTGAACTTCAGTTAAGATACTGATAAAAGAGTAACTGAACAAATATATATTTTAACAAACTATAAAGGATCTTTTGAAGGTTGAGATTTAATATTACAATATTCAACTGAAGTTGTCTTGTTAAAGTATTAATGACCTGTGGTCTCATTAAATGTTATGCTCGTGTATCTCTTTCTTATCATCCACATTTTCCTGACCACACTCTTACAAATTTTGCCAGCTATTAAAAATGTTCGTGAAGGAACAAGGAGTCCAAGAACAGCTCATGAAATTGGTTTAAAGAGAAGCTATGATACAATGGAAGGGAATATAAAGCAAGGAATGTCTATGCGTGAGTCTCCGGTGTCTGCACCACTGGAAGGTAAAAACAGCTGCTTCCAAGGTGTTTTGTGTTTTATCCAAGTATTTTGCATTGTTGCAAGAGTATTTGGAGTTATTTATGAAGCAGACGAAAAGAGAAATGAGATTTAAATCTTACACTACTAACCGAATCTATGCAGTAACCACTACAAACATGCTGGAAATATGACTGGAGTTCAGCTAGCACTTCTTCCTCTTAGTAGATCTGACACGTGTGACTGACTCTGAATCACAGTCCCAGTAGGTCATGTAGAGCTCAAACAACACCAGTGTGGCCTCCATGGGCACACCCGTTAGTTAAATATTGGTCTCAGCCATGGCACAGTAACTGTGGAACACACTGGCGTGACCGTTTGCATTCCTGCAGTAAACCTCTTGGATTATGCCAAGAAGAAGATTGCACAGCTGCTGTATCCCGCTTCAGGGCATCCCTAGTATGATTTTGATTTAATAAACTGTAATGAAATAAGGCTGCAAAGGTCAAGTCAGGCCATTGCATAACTTTTCTGATTGCTTTTTAAAAATACAAGTGCAAGAAAATGTTGCATACCTAAACTATGGAGTCTTACTCCTTAAGTGTGTTTTTTTTCCCCATATTTGGGTAGCCCTTAAAGGCTATTTTCTGTACACTTTCAGCAGAAGGAGCAATATGAATAAGAAGTTCCTAGGATCTAGAAATTCAGTCTTGCCTTTAAGTTTCTGATGCATTTGCCTCATCTCTAGGCTTTTTTGGGATATGGGAAGCTGCTCTGATACATTTGTGCTGTATCTCGTTGCTTTGACACATTTTCTGTCCTCAGACTGTGGAAAACCATGAGTTCTTTTGGGATTTGATTCAGATTCCTACTCTAAGAACAGTAAATTCAGCTCTTCCCAGATGATTCAGAATGAACTTTGATTAATTTGGAAGAAGCTGAGCTATATTTTGAGGTGTTTTTTTTTCATTTTTGCTTGGGTTTCTATCATGAACACCTTTCTTTAAGTAAAGTGAAATGTAAGAGAAGCAGTGACTGCATCTGGGGCAAGAGTTAAGCTTAATTATAAAAAATAGCTTGTGTTTTCTAAGTATGTTAAAACTTGCAGGAATGTAATAGCATGAATGCCTGAACTGAAAGACTTACTTTTTAGGGCAGGATGGTGTTTATAACATGTTGCTACAATGCCTAGCATGCTGAGGCTAGGACCTCTGGGCACTACTCTGATACAGATACTATCTGTGATCTATGTAAGAAGGAGGAGGGTTTTGTTGGGCTTCTTTGAACACTTGTTTAATTCTCTAAATTATGTCCATTTTAATTTTAGGTTTAATATGCCGTGCACTGCCTCGGGGTAGCCCACATGCTGAACTAAAAGAGAGAACAGTGTTGTCTGGCTCTATAATGCAAGGTAAAGTATTGTGAGTTTAGAAGGCAAGCATTAATTACAGCCTCAAAAATCTGTATTTCTGAACCTTAAAACTGATGTTAACAATGGTAGCTGTGTTAAAGGTGGAGCTAATTTTATTAAACATGTTTTTCAGAGCATAAATCAGCAGTTTTCTGATATGCTGTGCACAAAGCTAGTGTGTAAATGTAGCATTTTATTTCTTCATGGAAATCAGACTATTTTTAATACAAATACTTGGCAATTAGCTCTTTTTTTTTTTTTAAATGTGAATATGTGTGCTATTTCCTTTATTTCAGCATCTGAAATAACTTGGGATCCTTTCAGTGATATATTGAATATTTGTTCACTATTACTTCTGTGGTGATTTTCTTAGTCTTGAGAGCATATCATAGATTATAGCAAACTGAAGTGCCACGACTATGACATGTAGTTATTTTACTCTTTTTATGAAAAAAGAGACTCGGTAATTACTAGTGCCAGTAATGTGACTCTTTCTTTCTATAAAAGGTACACCAAGAGCAACAGCTGAAAGCTTTGAAGAAGGCTTGAAATACCCTAAACAGATTAAGAGAGAGTCACCTCCCATAAGGACATTTGAAGGAGCCATTACTAAGGGGAAACCATATGATGGAGTCACTACTATAAAAGAAATGGGTCGTTCCATCCATGAAATCCCAAGACAGGATTTACTAAGCCAGGAGAGTCGCAAGACTCCCGAAATGGTGCAAACGACCAGGCCAATCATAGAAGGCTCCATATCTCAGGTGAATACAAAAAGCAGTGCTACACTCACCCAGTTGATTACAGACCCAGGATTGAATCAATTCAGGGTATTTGAATAATTGCAAATGAGAGATGTGTTTTGTTTTAAGGAAGCCACCAACTTGAAAAGCTTAAAAATATTTTCTGTGTATTAAATAAATCCTGGTGCTTCAACTGTAGGGAACACATTTGCAAGCAAATGTGAGAGAACTGACAAGTAACAGTCACTAAGATCCAATTATATTCTGTGTTAATGTGATGCAAGCAATGAACTACGATGTCAGCAATGTGAGAAGTTTAGCACACATGAAACATTGGCAGAATAAGCTTACCTGTCTTTTTCTCCTTTTCAGGGCACACCCATAAAATACGAAAGCAACTCTGGCCAGTCTGCCATCAAACATAATGTAAAATCTTTAATCACTGGACCAAGCAAGCTTCCCCGTGGAATGCCTCAGCTGGAAATGGTGCCAGAAAACGTGAAGGTGGTGGAGCGAGGAAAATATGAAGATGTGAAGACCGGGGATGCAGTACGTTCCCGTCACACGTCAGTAGTGAGCTCTGGTCCCTCTGTTCTCAGGTCAACTCTTCATGAAACTCCCAAATCACAGCTGAGCCCTGGGATTTATGATGATACCAATGCTCGGAGGACACCTGTGAACTATCAGAGTCCAATGTCCAGGAGTTCACCTATGCTGAATAGAGTTAGTGAGGGTATGTTATTCCTATCCAGACAAGAAGTTTTAATGATTTAATTTTAAACTTAATTTTGAACTGCTTTCTGTAATCCTTTCTACTTTCTTGTATTCTAATGGTTTCTCTCAAATTGGAGGGTGGCCACAGGGAATTTTAGAAGGCTCTAAGCCTAAAATCTGCCATATTATAACATCAATGTGGGAAGACAATTCTTTCTCAATTTGCATTTAATTATGGGTTGTATCGAAACAGTTGCCTGTAAGTGTAACATTTTAAGGGCAGAAGCTATTCCTATGGAGGTATCTAGATGAGGAAGGTATTGTGGTGAAGTGTAAGCAATCAGCTTTAGGATTTAGATTTTTCACCAGAAATAGTTTGTGATATAAAATACTTTCTGTGATTTATTGTATCACATTGCAAGATCCTCTAGACTGTTACTTGAGAGCCAGTGTATACTTACAGCTGAATTTTCTATTGAAAAAAATATGCATTTTATTGATTTGGAGTTTTCATTGGTTTTAGGTGGAATATCTTCTGGGAAGCCAGCAAATCACGAAAGAAAAAACACACTTACTCCGACACAGAGGGAGAGCGTGCCAGCAAAATCTCCAGTCCCTGGGGTTGATCCTGTAGTGACTCACAGTCCTTTTGACCCTCATCATAGAGGAGCAACTCCTGAAGTCTATAGGAGTCACCTCCCTCCTCATTTAGATCCTGCTATGCCATTTCACAGGGCTCTGGATCCTGGTAAATCTGTTTGTATTGGGTTTCTTTTAATTTCATAAAAGGTTATGTATTATACACTGTTGTGGCCTAATTTCAACTGGGGGGGAGGGTGGGTTATTATCTGGCCAGGAAACTTATGGAAAATATGATTATATAAGGCTGTAACTTTCTTCTAGAAGCTGCCAGCTGCTTCTGTTTGGTTACAAAGTTCAGACAGTATTTTTAGATAAGTTTTCGTGAAATATATGAAAGCTTTCAGGAAAGCTATGCAGAGAAGAATGTGGAAGATGCTATAGAATTAATCAGGACTTCTTTATTCAGGACTGTGATTCCTTCTCACTGAGGGATTATCAGGTTGTCCCTTGTGATACTAAATACAGTAGACTTCCTTTTAACCTATCCTTCAGTCTCCTTCTGTGAGATATTTTAACCTTTTTTAGGTATTTCAGCTCTTTACATCTTCAGAACTTCAGGATTTATATTTTTAATCAAGTCTCTTATGCATATCTCCAGTATGGGTTATTTCACTTTTTCTGTCTGAAGACTGCATAAATTCAGTAAACCACCAGTATTAAAATGCTGTTTTAATTCATCTGGCACTGGCTAGGGAGAATTGACAGTGCTTCTCATTAAACATCTGAAACTTCCATTTGATATCACCCAGACCCTAAATCTTCTATTTTGTTTCCTTCTTCACCCTCAGCTGCTGCTGCTTACCTGTTCCAAAGGCAGCTGTCACCCACCCCAGGCTACCCAAGTCAGTATCAGCTTTACGCGATGGAGAACACACGACAGACAATCCTAAATGACTACATTACCTCACAGCAGATGCAAGTCAATTTACGTCCTGATGTAACGAGAGGATTATCTCCCAGAGAGCAAACTTTAGCTCTCCCGTATGCAGGAGCAAGAGGTATCCCCGTGGTTTTTCTTACGTTCTTTGAAGTATGTTTTGGGTGTGTGGTTGGTTGGTTTGTTTTGTTGCTGCTTATAAAGATGTGTTCATAAGTGTGTATGCATACAAGTGCATAGGCAGAGATGTGTTTGCAAATGTGTTGTCATACTTCTATACTGGCTTCTGTGGGCATAAAGGAAAACTATATATGTAAACAATATTGTTAAAGGGAAGGCTGTAAGACTTATTAGTGTTCAAGAAATTAGACTGGTTTGATAGTTTAAATTGGTACTGAGAAACATATTTAACTCATCCTCAACTTCAGAAAAGATAATTATATCAAAATGAGAACTTCTCCAAAATGAAAACAAAAGCAACAGCTAAAAGGATGAGGTTTGTGAAAAACAGGGTGATTGTTTAAAGGTGTTAGGTTAGAGAGTTAGCAAAAGTGTGTGAGGTGTTGCAGGAATGGGAAAAGCCTAAATCAGTCTGAATATGTAAGAGAAGCAAGAAGGAGCATTTGAAAACGAAAAGACATCTTGTGAAAGTGTAACTCCTGAAACAGAGAAAATGGGAATCTGGACAAGTTAAATGGCTGATTGCCAGATCTAAGAGAGTATAACCAGGAGGAATGTAGCTCTGCATTTGCTTTATTCTGTGTTTTTCCACTAAGCATTCACTGCTGACCTTTATTAATGAACAGAATATATAACATGTGGGCTATTGGTCTGTCCTTGAGTTACTATTCTTACATGTGTCATCTCCTAACAGGAATTATTGACTTGAACAATATGGCTCCCACTATCTTAGTGCCTCATCCTGGAGGAACAAGCACACCACCCATGGAGAGAATCACATATATCCCTGGTACCCAACTTACGTTCCCTCCTAGGCCTTACAATCCTGCTTCTCTGTCACCAGGTAAGGGCCCTTGTGATCTGCTGCTGTCTCTAGTTGTCTGACATGCTTTCTTTAGCTTTCATTAATGTCACGTCTTGGTGTTTTCTCAGGTGATGCTTTTTGCATGCTTTTCTTACTTGGATAGCAAAGGTTTTCTTAAGGGTATCCTTTGTAGTTACATTAGGAGCACTGACAAATGCAGAATTTGCCTCATTCTGTCATTTCTTTATTTATAATCATTTGATTGTGATTTCACTGACTTCATAGTGTACGTGTTGAAGAGTAGAATTTGGGTTTATAAGCTGTGTAGTTTCTAACTCTATAAAAACCACTTTAGTAAAAAGCTGTTGAGCCTTCCACTGTTACTGTATGTTAAGCTTTTATCTTCTTAGAAAAGTGGATAGTTTTGAGTGGAATGAAAATGTATTTGGGAAATTTTGCTGTAAGTGGATAGCAGAGTATTGGCAAGTGTTTACATCCAGTTATGCTTAACTTGAGTATCTCTTTTTACTACTTCATTTTATTTTGTGGACCTTCCAGGACACCCTACACACCTGGCAGCTTCTGCAGCTGCAAATGCTGAAAGGGAACGGGAAAGGGAGAGGGAGAAGGAACGGGAAAGGGAGCGGGAACGGGAGCGGGAAAGAGAACGAGAACGGGAGAGGGAGAGAATCTCTTCAGTCCCTGCTGAACTTTATCTTCGACCAGGTGAATGCAAATCTCTACATTTAAATCAGTTGTCTTGTAGACTGTAACTGCTTCTTATCTTTTTCTCATAGCAATGTAGCACCTGGGAAATGGTGTGAATCCCAGTTACCGCTAGCACAACTTCCATGTCATTCAGAGCATTGTAAACATGCTGCTGCCATTTAAACCTCTGATGCATACTGTCACAGCTAGAAGGGTGGAGACTACTGGGAAAGGATGTGGAGGAGACAACACAGATATGTAGTACTGCATTGTTATAATAGTTATCAATATATATTGTTTGTTTCCTTCTGCTCTGTTCTGTAGGTGCAGAGCAGCCTGGCAGACCTGGCAGTCATGGATATGTTCGGTCCCCATCCCCTTCAGTTAGAAGCCAGGAAAACATCCTGCAGCAAAGGCCTAGTATTTTTCAAGGAACCAATGGGACAAGTGTAATCACACCTTTGGATCCTGCTGCTCAGCTACGTATCATGTATGATTTATAACTTACTATTCCAGAGATATGTGTTCTAACATTTGCAGTTACTAAACAGTGCATTGAGCCTGAGGAAAATACAACAAGATGAAGACATATCACTATCTGATTGCTCTTGGATTTATTGGAAATGATCCATTTCAATAGTCCAGTTTGGATAGAAATTAGTGTCAGAAAAGCTTCACTTTGTTGTATGTGTGATGTGGCTCTGATTCTCTTTTTCATGCAATATAATTGAGAATATTCAATGTTTGTCAACAGGCAGCTCACCCCTGGAGCTCCCTCTATTACTCAAGGGTTGCCAGCTTCCCGTTACAATACTGCTGCTGATGCCCTTGCAGCACTCGTAGATGCTGCAGCCTCTGCTCCTCAGATGGAAGTTGCCAAAGCAAAAGAGAACAAGCATGAAGGCACCAGGATAGAAGAGAATATGGGACGCCGGTCAGCTGTGGTTACTGAACAGCAGCAGATGGAACAGAAGACACTGGAGGTAGAAAAGAGGCCTGTCCAGTGCCCCTATACATCTGCAAACTTTTCTGGTGGCAAGTCCCAGGGACAGTCTTCAGTAGTCTATTCAGAGGCTGGTAAAGAGAAAGGACCTCCTCCTAAATCCAGGTACGAGGAAGAGCTGAGAACTCGAGGAAAGACCACAATTACTGCTGCTAACTTCATAGATGTGATCATCACTCGACAGATTGCTTCAGACAAGGATGCACGAGATAGGGGCTCTCAAAGTTCAGATTCTTCCAGTAGTTGTACGTATCTTAGTAACTATCTACTTCTTTGCTGTCTGTCTTAGCGTTTTAGGGAAATAATAAGTTGTGAAATGATTCTGATGTTCAATGATAAAATATTTCACCTCTGCCCAGTAGAAACACTTCATAGACAAATACGGGTTTTGCATATAGTTACTCAAGATTCTTGGAAAATCAGAGTTGTTTGCTTTATTCAGATTCCCTGCTACAATAGGAAATGCAGGATAATAAGACTAACCTTATCAGAACTCAAGAAACCTAAAATTATGTGGTTTACATTGAAACACTGTTGTGGAAGCATTTGTATCGCCATGGTTATCATGAGGAAAAGATAGTGTTTTAACTTCCATTTCACTGGTGTCATTGTAATGGAAGCACTGGTGTTGCTGTGTAGAGGCAAGAGAAATTTTCTGTGACATTTACACCTTATTCCACAACCTTTGCTTGATACTCAGTATCCTCCCATCGGTATGAAGCTCCTGGAGATGCCATTGAGGTGATTAGCCCTGCAAATTCACCTGTACCTACTCAAGAAAAGCTACAGCCCTATCAACCAGAGACACCTAAACAAAGCCAGGCAGAAAGTAAGTTTATCTGCATATATAAATATTCTCACAATTATCTTGCTTATGTTTACCAGCTCCATGGCATCATAAATACCTTGGGAGTCTTTAAGTGGATGCTTAGCACATTCTTAACTTTTCAGAAACTTTTGTTGGAAGTATGTTGTTGCAGTGATCTGGAAAATCTAGAGCAAATGTATTGGAACTGACATTTGGCATTAGACAGACAGAGCTCCTTTCCATTATAGGGTAGCTGATTTAATAAGAAATTTATTTCCAATTCATTCTTTCAAAGTCCTGTGTACAGGTGTTGATGCCTACAATTTTTTACCTATTAGTAAAGGTCAAAATATTACAGAACAGTTTGCAGGTGAGAAATGAGCTGCAATTAATCTACATTGTGAAATGAAGCTTTATTTTATCTACTTTAAATTGTAGGGCTTATATATGAAGGGGGAAATACTGATTATCACACAGGATATCAAAGACCTAATGCAGAAACACTTCCTCTATTAAATTTGTAAGCACAGAAGTTTCAAACCTTGAAGCTTCAGTAATACCATCTGTTAAGACTGACCTTTTCTTCTTCAACTAGATGACCCAAACAGGCAATATGAGGGGACGATTCACCGCTATAGGACACAACAGGAACCCCCTTCACCCCAACAACCTCCACCTCCCTCTTCCCAAGCAGAAGGGATGGCACATGTGCCCAGGACCCATCGGCTTATCACCCTTGCTGATCACATCTGTGTAGGTTTATTTGCATGCATCTTTTCAGATGTGAAAAGTTATATTTTGATGATGAAAACACATGTTTTGAAACTTAATACCAATTCTGTAATTATTAGTTTTACTTGAGGCTGTTATACAATGTGTCTGAACTTAAAATCATCTCATTTGTTGCAATCGGTCTCGTATTCATCTAGTTCATGAATACATAGTCTCTTGGCCAGTGTCTGACCGAGATCTCTCTTCTATTTTCTTGGCCACTATCAGCAAATTATTACACAAGACTTTGCTAGAAACCAAGCAGCTTCTCAGGCCTCTTTGCAGCCTCCCACCACTACATTCCAGAATTCCACCCCTGTTCCAACACCTGTTGCTACCCGGGCAAAGACATCGAATCGCTACAGCCCTGAGTCCCAGTCACAGTCTGTCCACCATCAGCGGCCAGGAGCTAGAGTGTCACCTGAAAATCTGTCTGACAAGTCCAGGGGAAGGTAACACATGTATTCAGTTTTACTGCAAATTTAATGCCCAGAGCTGATATGTATAAAATCTGATATTTATAAAATACAGTAACCTTGATGTAGATCAGACATAGAGGTATCTTTCTGTCCTTTTCTTTGGCAACATCTTTTTAGCACTGTTTTTGACAATTGCTTGGCTCCATAACATTGATTATAACTGTTCTACCTTCACTTCCTGTGCTTAGTTTCCAGTCTTTAGGGGGATGAAAACGTTTAATTACTTTAAATTGTCCATAATGACTCTGATAGTTCTAAGTCATCTTTTCGAGATCACCAGACATACTAAAAAGCATGTAACATACATAACTAGACATAAGTAGTTATGTAACAAACTGGAATGCAATTACATGTGTTGACTACTGCTTTACATGCATTAAGAGTACTTACCTGTCTCTGAATTATGGATGTAGACCTGGAAAATCCCCAGAGAGGAGTCATGTCTCTTCAGAGCCCTATGAGCCAATCTCGCCACCTCAGGTCCCAGTTGTACATGAGAAACAGGAAAATGTTCTTTTGCTTTCCCAAAGAACGGAGCCTACTGAACAGAGGTATGTGTAGAGCTGAATTTTAAAAACATAATTGTGGATCTTTGAGCTGCATAGAGTATTAAAGAGCAGTTTAAGTGATTTTCCTCTGGTGCCACAGGCGAGTAGTTTATCACTGTTGACCCCCTTTGTACTCCTCACAACCTGCTACTTGGGAGATGCTTTGGGAAGCCTGAGGGAAATATAATCTATACCAGTTCTGTCTCCAGTTTCTTGGTGCAAGCAGTGGGTTCTATGTCATATCTGATAGAAAGCACTATAACAAAACTCCTCGTTGGGTGTCAGTTCTGTAAAACTGAAGTGGTTTGGGAATAGGGACAATTTCTGCAGCTTGTATTAAATAATTCAGGCTTCTTCTGCATGCTTGGCTTCCTGGATACTGTCCTGGTGAAGTGTGGAAGAACCCAAGGCTTCCAATGCTTGTGACTCTAGAGCAGCTTATCTCATGAAATAGCATTAAGCTAAGGAGTTTCATTTCAGGGAGGTGTGAAGGTGGGGTGTCAGGAGGCCTGTGCCCAGGGGTGTCAGGCAGCCCTGTTTTCCAGGGCTAGTTGTCAGTCTCCAGATCTGCAGCATAAAACTACATGAGATCCTGGCAGACTGCGTCAGGGCTGGTGTCTTCAAATAGCTGGCAGATGCACATTGGAATGGACACTTCTGTCATTTGCTCTGCTGCCTGCTGAAGAAGGGGTAGCAACCAGCAGGCTCACCATATACTTATTTAAAGCTCATGCTGGTGAAATTGATTCTTTTCTTCTTTCACCCTTACCCTCTTCACTCTGCAGTTGCTGGCAGGGTTGTTACAGTCCAGGATGCAGGTTTAGCTGCATGCAAAATGATTTTCAGGAACGTGGCAGGGCAGGTCACATTTTTATGGGGTGGGGGTTTTAAATTAAAGCTGATTTGCTGGATTACTGCTGCTTAAACAAACTCAAGTGTTACAAGTGAACATACAGTTGATAATTTTTATCCACTTTTCAAAACAGTGTTAAGTCATTCGGGACCCTGGTATTAGCTTAGGTTTTTCACCTGAATATCTTCATGCTTTAGCTTGGATTTTTAGGGTTGTTTTTTCCCCTTAAAATTCTGTAGTTGAAATGCTACTGTTTTTATCATCTCTATAAACAGCCTAAACTTTGCACAGTCTAAGATCTGAAGATAAAGTCAGTTTGACATTTACTTCAGCCATTTTTTTACACTGTGACAGAAATTGTGTGCAGAAAGTGTGCCAGCCACTGTGAATGTAAAATTGGTAAGAGGTATGAAATACAGAACGTGGATCCCAGTCTGAATTTGTGCCGTAGAGCAAGAGTGACTAACTGACAGCTCTTGAGCCAAATTCCAGTCCATAAGGTTGTTTTACCTGGTTTCTAAGAATGCCTGAAATAGCTTATTTGCTTGGACCATCTGTGACAGGGTGGACAAGCAGACTTTAAAAGCAGTATGTCTTTTTAGTGGCATACTGGGGACAAGAGTGAGAAGATTGTAAATAGGAGCAGCTAGGATGAGTATTTGGGCTTCTAGCTTAAATATTTCTTCACATATTGATTCATGCTGCAAACTGCAGCCAGTGTGCACGTTGCAAGGCAGAAGTAGGCACCCCAGAGATAACTTCTAAGAACACCATGTGTATACCCCACTCCAGGCACAGAGAATGACATGGTCACTTTTTCTGTTACATGGACAAAGCAGATGTTCTTGGAGAGTCATTAGACTTGTGTAGTCCCCAGAAAACAGGCTGAGAAAAGAGTCTTAAAGTTCATGTGAATGTTAGTGGTTTCTGCCTGACTGCTTTTGGAAAGATTGAAATGTACATCTTGGAAAACGTTCTCTCTCATTGACACATGTTGGTCTTGGCAGGACTGACTCTCGCTCTCCAGGCAGTATAAGCTACCTGCCTTCGTTTTTCACCAAACTTGAGAACACTTCACCAATGGTAAAATCCAAGAAACAGGAGATATTTCGAAAGCTGAACTCATCTGGTGGAGGTGACTCTGACATGGGTATGCAGGACTTGCCTTTTCCCTGAACTTTTCCAGCTTAAGCTTTATGTGACTGCTATCCATAGGTGTCTGTCCCTGCGACAATGTCCCAACCTAAATGTTTCAAATAACACGTGTATGAGTATAAATCTATGAATAAAGAACAAATATGTAATAATTTGTGACCAAAGAAGTGGAATATTGTTAGATTTCCCTCACACACACTCTTTTTTTTTATTCTGGTGGATGTAGGACTTGTCACATTAAAGCTTTTTATCATTTAATTTGAGAGATGGAAATGGTTTCTCAAAACAATGGAAAAAAACCCCACATAATTAACTAAAGAATTGTTAAAACCTGACATTATTCTAGTTAACTTTGTAGTTTGTTTTATATCTTCCTTAGCTAGTACATATTTTCCTTTTTGGAAAGGTGTCTTGAAACAGAAAGTTTTGTGTTTCCTTGGTCTTTATGATTATGGCTGTTAAAAAGACCTATTTTACTATAGTTTCAGTAATGGATTCTGACATGGTAGAATATGATACTAGAACTGTAGCTTTGTTTTTTCTCTCAGAAACCCTAGCAGCACTTCATATCAAAATTATCATTAGTGAGAATTAAAGCTATTTGTGAACCCAGTACCTAATAGAGACTGTTTATTTCAAAGTAAATGCTCTTGAGTTGAGCAATAAATGAATCTCATTCTGAAAAACAAGCTGTGTCAGTAAGGGTTGCAGCACTGATCCCCATTGTGTGCACAATAGATTTTGCTCTGTTGAAACCTTGATATGCATGTTTGGCACACAAGCACACTTTCCATTGCTGCCAGCAGTCTTTTCATTTATATATTGAATTCTGTGTTACAGTTTAAAATCTTTATTCTCAAATTGGTCATCATACAGGTAATGTTTAAAACTCCAGCTTAGCAAACCAAATGCAGCTTAGCATTTTAAAGCATTTAGATTGTGAAATTTCACAGTCACGTTACTTTCTGAAGTAACAGCCATGATCATACTTTTACCCTGGTATTGATCATTTTCCTGAGAAGACATAGGTGTACATTCATCCTAGAACACTGAGAAAGGAAAAGTGAACACTGAAAAGAGTTCAAAAGTAGTTACACCTTGTGCATTAGGACTAGAAACAACTACTTACAGTGATTGTCAGTACTGAGAAACTCAATGAAATGTTATGTTTGAATTGCAGCAACTGCTCAGCCAGGGACTGAAATATTTAATTTGCCAGCAGTCACTACCTCAGGTAAGTCTTTCAGTAAAGAAAAAACAACATATGGTTCTGAAAAGGTAAATCCATGTCACATCTTTCATCTGTATGCTTTGGGGAGTCCAGTAAATGAGGAAGATGATGAAAATGTAAAAGGTAATACCCTACATGAAAACTTGTTTCCTGTATTGTAGGGAAAAGCAAAATGACCAAAGGAAGCTTCAAAAATATTTAAATGGGATCTTAAGCAGGAGTGATTTATTTATGTATGCTCTGCAAATCTTACACAGGGAAATTGGTTAGCATCTCACTTAAATAGAATTTAAATATAGTGTAGTTGAGCTTATTGCATCAAATGCAATTTACTTTATAAACTGGGGTATTTAAAATACTCCTGATTTTTGTTTTTTCCTGTGATGAATACATAATAAACCCCCTCAACTTTTTATGAGATGAGGAAATTAAATATAACCTATACTTTTACTATGTTAAAGAGGAAAGTGAGGCAGAGAATTGAATGGAAAGGTGGGAGAGAAGAGCTGCTATATCTGAATCTTGAGTTGTAACACAGATTGACTTTATGTGATTTTGGCCAGTCACTGCCCCTTCTGGTACAGTGCTTCTGTCTTCTAAATGGAGAAGTACTGATCTGCATTAATTTAGATGGAAGAGAAGCTTCTGCAATAAAAAATTGCCACATATCACAATTCATAAGCCAAATTAGTATGGATTATTAATGAGAGAAGCATTCTTCTGGTCTTTTGTCTTAAACTGAATCATAGCTGCAGATTTTACTTAATATGCTATCACAATCAGCATGCTCAGCTTCCTTTGCTATGTAAAAAAACCTCAACCCACAAAACACACAGTAAGATTTATATCCTCCCCCCCCCCGCCCCCCTTTCTGCCTCTCTCAAACCTTTTCCCAAATCCCATTGTAATTTCTCCGAGATACGTTTTTTGCCTCCCCTCCCACCTTTCCCTGTATGTTTTCTTTTATCTCCCAGGTGCAGTCAGTTCTAGGGGTCATTCCTTTGCAGATCCTGCCAGTAATCTGGGTCTGGAAGACATTATTAGGAAAGCATTGATGGGAAACTTTGATGACAAGAGCGAAGAGCATGGAGTTGTAATGACACAATCTATTGCGGTAGTACCCGGCAGTTCCAGTGCTGCAGTATCAGCAAGTAATGAGACTCGTAGGGAGGAAGCTAACCCATCACCAAATTCAGGTGGGTCATTGCAACTGCTAAATATTTCATGGACTTAAAATAAAAATTAAGAGTTTGAATAAACATGGTATCACTGAAAATCAGTGGTTTTCCTCTGGAAAGCGGAGGTAGTTTTTCCATTCCCTTTAGTGGTGCTGGCTTTCACAATGGTGCTGGAGAATTCAGGAGCATTATCCAGTATTTCTTGGAGAATGACTACAGTGATGAAACACAGAAGAGATAACAGGATGTGTATTAGATACCTGAAGCATGTCAGTGGTTTGATGTTCACCTATAAGGAACATGTACCAGCAGGAGCTTGAACTGAAAATATCTCACTTGTAAACATGGAACTGTAACTTTGTTGTGATAAGAACAGGGATTTTCTAGCGACACTGTTAGAAGATTAGGTCACTAATTGAGGTAAATTAGCATTCCAGAAGGCACCAGTGTGAAACTCCTGTTTTTTGGTACATGGTAATATATAGAAACAAACACAGAGGCTAAATTCCAGCATAACATCTTTGTAAAGTCTATCCTGTCTGTTTCCAGGAGGGGGCAAGCAGAAGCTCATCAGCAAGTCGAATAATAGGAAGTCAAAATCTCCAATTCCTGGACAGGGGTATTTGGGAACTGAAAGACCTTCTTCTGTCTCATCTGTACATTCAGAAGGGGACTACCACAGGCAGACTCCAGTGTGGGCCTGGGAAGATAGGCCTTCATCAACAGGTGAGAAATGGGTTTCTTTCCTACATTGGTCAGGACCTCACAGCATATGAGGAATTTCAGAAATAACAGATTTGCTGTGACTTGTCACAACCAAACCCAGACTGTCTTTCAGATATGGGTCTCTTGGGAACAGCTTATGGTTTTGACTTGGAGAAACTGTCTTTTATTCAGGTTCAACACAGTTTCCCTACAACCCGTTGACGATGAGGATGCTCAGCAGTACACCGCCAACATCCATTGCGTGTGCCCCACCGTCCATGAGCCAAGCAACCACTCACCAACAGAACAGGATATGGGAGCGAGAGCCTGCACCACTGCTTTCAGCACAATATGAAACTCTGTCTGACAGTGATGACTGAACTATGCAGATTCTTTTTGTTTTTTATTTGCGGGTCAAAACAAGAAATCTATTTTTGACTTGTGCCCATAGAGACTTTCCAAGAGAGCAAGGGCCACACAATGAAGAATTGGAGAGTCCGTTAAATGCCTTCTGCACAGGCCATGTGTTGGAGGATTGCTAACAAGAAGGTTGACTTACTAAAGATAAATATGTAAAGAGTTTTTAAAAAATGTGGACTATTCCTGTTCTACATCTATTTGTAAAGAAAACCTTAATGTCTTTAAATCATTCTTCTGTAAATAGAGAGTACTTTTTGCAGTGTTTTTTCCCTTGCTATAGTATCTGGTGTACTTATGTTCAAATCATTGCCTAAACTTTGGGGGTCATTTTGTAATTTTTTTGTTTTTTAAGCATTTTCTCCAGTGTAGAGTACTCTTCATAACCCTAGCCTCCCTTCCAGCCTAGCCTAACCCTAACCTAGCCTCCCAACCAGCCTAGCATCATTGCCCAGTTAATGCCAGGCCACTTCTTGCAGGCATTGTGCTTTTATATCATGTTTTTTTTTCCCTAGACACACTTTCTCAGTGGTGATCAAGCTCTTGTGAAAATGTTGATTTTTAAGACTGACCCCTTACTGAATTCTGTACATTACCATAGGCCGGTTCGCTGGAATAAGATGATATATTTCTTTGAATTTTAAATTCTGCCACATTGTAAATTTTTTGGTGCAGTTGGTTTTATTTAGCAACACTGCAGAACTATTATTGCATGGGTATGTTATGGTTCATTTTTAAAAGGATATAAAAAAAACAAAGAACAGCTTCTGGAGGCATACCTCACTTCTGCACACTGGGAATTTTAACGGTGCCCCAAAAGCCTATCTTAAGTGTTTTCTGTTTCTGCATTGTATGCAGTCAATACAGGCTACTAAATTTTACTGTCATATTTAACCACAGCAAATGGCTTATCTGAATAGAGGCTCTGGGTGGGTTGATAAATCCTTTAAGAAGAAAAACCTCTACATCCCAAGTTTAAATAAAACAAAATGCTTTTATAGAATAAGTGAACAACACATGAGTCAACTACTTGGCTTCTGTTACAACCGGTTTGAAATAGGTACTGTGATTTTTACCTTCCTCCAGGCTGATTTTAAAATCTTTATGTAATAATTATTTTAAAGTCTGCATCCCCCTCCCTGGCCCTGTAAGCAAGCTTTTGGTTGAAGTCCTTACGGATGCTTGGCTTAACTCCTAAAGTGTGCAATACTTGTTAGGGTGATTTTTAAATTGTATATGGTACTAGGAGAGTCTCCTTAATCACTCATCTATCAATGCCTGCTATGATATGCTTGTAGCTCATGTATACATGCATCTGGTTAGTGATACCACAGGGTGTCCTGACATCCATCTTCAAAAGCATCTTATTTTTTGCTGCACTGACCTCAGGAAGTGAATTTGAATCTTCCAGGGTAGAAGGACTGATTTACAGATAGCACTGAGCTGGGGGGTGGCACCATTTGTCAGATTCCAAACTGCTTTTGCATCTCATCCATGAACAGAGTCTTTGCCTTGAAGTTATTTTCCACTCAGATTATGTTTAATTTAACCCTGTATTTGCAACACATTGTCTGGAAGGTGAATGCAGCTGTGGAAGTTTTACATCTTCCAGAAGGACTGTAAGGTGCAGTTACAAACAGCAAGTACAGAACTACTTATGAATACAAATTCACTTTGAGTGCTTGGGAAGAAAGCCTTTTTACCAAGTGTGGGAGGGATCCAAAGCAACTCATTTGGAAACTTGACACTGTGTTGCAAATACAGAATTATTTTGCTACTTTAAAGGCTGTATCAGAGTAGGTCAGTTGGCAGTCTTAAGTCTCCTTCCAGTCTTTTCTCTAAGAAAGACTTTTCTCACCTTCCCATCCTTCTGGCAAGTGAAGTCTTCATCTTGTTTGTAGACCTGTGCTCTTATTTTAACTTTTCTGTTCCCACAGCAACAGATACTGGAACACAAGTTGCTCTGCCCTTTTTGTAGATCTAAATTTGGAATGGAGAGTTCAGTTCCATTCTAAACCTCACTCATTGTCACTTTCCTAGTGTAACAAATACAATGTGAAAGAGGCATGTACAGACAAATGTCTTTGCTAACTGTAAGTATAGCATGTTCATTGCAAAGCTTCATGTTATTGCTGCTGCAGCAGCAAGATTCCCAAAGTAGGATAGTCACTTTCTCCTAAGATACAGCTTGAGTGGCATTTGCACATAAAATGTTGCTGCTTTTTTGTTTGTTATCCAAGTTCTAACTTCTCCAGTGTAAAAACCTCTCCAGAGCCTAAGTTAGGGTTTACCACAATTCCAGTAATCTTCAAGTATGGAATTACATCTGCCCTGTTTCAAACAGGAAGGTGTTTGTAAGTCATGTTTACAAAGTGTAGTTTACTACAAATTTTTAACTGATTTCTGATCAGCGCTTTCACAATGCTTCATCTTGGTATGTTTCGTGATTCTGATATGAAATCATTTAAGACTTGAAAAACCCATGCATCATAAAACAACTTTATTTTTTTCCACACAATGTCTTCAGTAGACAGTGACTTCTGGATTCAGACCAATCAATAAAGGGGATCAGTTCTCCATCTGCCTTTCCTGTGTCTCCCTCTTGTTTTACAGCATCAAGTTATGAGAACAGGCAAAAAACACTTCCCTTAGGGAGTGCTGCAGGGTTCCCAGTTGATACTGCTGGAGTGGCTACGGTCTGCCACTTCAAAAACAGAACCCAGAACTTTGGTACTAGTGTGTCAGAGCCTTTCTGTTAGTACAAGCATGCCTGTAACAGCTGTATTTTTACTTCCTAGCTTGCTGAGAACAAAACTGTACATGTGACTTAAGTTCTTCCAGCTTCAGTGAACATCTGCTCTGGAAAACCTGCATGCTGCCTCTTAGCTCAAAGTTAAACAGAGCTGAAGCCACTAATGCTACTGTAAGTAAACTAATGATAATGCAATTAACATTAAGGGTTGTACCAACCAGCTGAAGTTCTTAAAAATGAGCTGTTAAATTAATGCTTGGTTAGTAATAGAATTAGTTAGTTTTATTCCATCCTAGCTAAATACACATTTGCTATCTTCTGGTTTAATTCTTTAACATTAGGCCTCCCTGCAGCACAGAACTGAACTATTCTGTTATATGAGTGGGCTGTTCATTCTAAAGTCACATGTAGTTCACAGACCTGATGGTTTGTACCTACCACCTTTTCCACCAGGAGCCTCGCCATTCTAGCACTGACTTATACAGGAGAGGAGGCCAGTTTTGGCACTCACTGTGCTCTTGACTGGTGTAAGGTGGCAGAGCGATTCATTTCTGACAACAGCTCTGCCTGGTAACATAGTCTGACCCCTCCTAACAGAGCACATGTTCCATCTTTGGATGCTAAATGCTTTGAAGAAAAACATTTGATCTTCAGGCAACCTGGTTGAAAAGGATCTGGAGGTACAGCTCTGTCCTAGTACAGGTATAGCCTGAGAAATGCGCTACTGAAGTTAATAAACACTGAATTGCAGCACTGACACAAGCACACCCTGCTGTGGTAGCCAGCATGTAGAGTGAGACAATTCCTGCCTGTTCTTTTTCAGGACTTAGCTTTAGTACACCCATGGTTTGAAACTGAATACCTCTGTGAATAGTCTGGAGTAGCAAATACTCTTTAAGTGCCAGTAGTACTATCAGGCTAGATTTCTGCTTTGCTCCCAGTCCAGACCAAGTTAAATCACTAGCATAGTAGCTCACTAACCATAGACTACACCACAGATCTACAGAGTTAAGATTTCACAACTTTATTTTAGGCTAAGTTGTTGGGTAATAGCAGCCCTTCTTGTTACGTAGTCCTTAAACTCCTTGCTGTTCCCCTGGAGCATTGCACCAAGGCTGCTTGTACTGACCAGCCCTTGCTGCCATTGGCCATCTCATGGCCGGACTCTGGCCAAGCTTACTTGGAGCCCTTTCTCCTCTTAGCCAGCTCAGCTAGTTCTTCCTGGATATGCTGAACAGAAGCAACATCTCCCTTCTGTTGTGCCTGCTTGAGAGCTTCTTTGTACACTTGTTTTGCTTGCAGAAAGTCCTCTGTATCAAGAGGAAAAAGAGGCATTTTCAAAGTCCCAAAGGAGAAGCAAAGACTACTGGAACACATCAAGACCTAGGGAGGTTCACAGAACATCCAGCACTGGGTGCCAATTATGAGAGCAAGCCAGTAGCAATGATGATGGAACAAACTGCTGCTTCAGCATTAAAATTTAGAAACAAATCTCCAGCATGTTTTCTCTTCCTCTGAAACCAGTTACTGCACATACAGGACATGGGAGACAAGATCCCTTGGCAACCTTTTGAGTCAGATGCACCAGTACTGCATTTATCTTGGATAGGATCCTTCAGCAGCTGAATTCCATTTGAACACCACACAGGTTGCTACACAAAGTCAGCAGAACTGCTGCTTAAACTACAAATAGCAACACAAAAATAACACTACACTTTGCTCCTACAATACAGGTGTCTGCGGTCAGCACAAGCACAGTGACAGAAGCCAGATATTTATGTACCTACCTTTGTGCATCAGAATTGCTGCCAGGTTGTTCAACACCATGTGCTCCTCAGGGTGTTGAGTTTCCTTTGCCAGCTCTGCTGCCCTCTTCACATAGGAGTATGCCTCATCGTGGTGACCCTGGGCATCCAGTACAGTCGCCAAGTCACTCATCAGGACCACAGTCTGCATCAGGACAGAAAAGGAAACCTCAGAGCAAGACCTGTGTAGGGCATCACAAGCACCACCATCATACTCCCATCACACTAGTAAAAGCAGTCATTTCCCAGAGAAGCTTTCAGTAAGAAAGTGTCTTGTATTTCTATATTAACATGCTGCATGCTCATTCTTCCTGGCAAGAAAGCTGATCCCAATTCAGTGCTATGTATGGCTGATACCAGCAAAGCTGCTTTTAAGGCTGCCTCATTCCCTGGGAGCTTAGGTTTCTTTCCCTAGTCGTCCATTATACAAGTCACCTGTGCATGAGTCTCTCCCTGAACATCTTTTGATATCTGCAGAGCCTTCTCATACATTTTTTGGGCCGCTGGGAGCTGGTTAATGTTTAGGAGATAGCGAGCATAGGAGTCTAGGCTCATCCCAAGCAAGAGGCGGGTATTGGCCTTTTCTTCAGCTGCAAATAGAGAGGAGTGGAAGTGATCACTTCTACAAGATCAAGCACAAGTCTCCATCCTACAAGAGCAGGAAACTCATGCAGTGTGAAGACAGTGGATTGACATGAAGATGGTGCTTAGGCAATATGGAAAGAAACATCTATGTGAGGCAAATGGAGAAAAGATAATGAGAAGCCTTTGGCAGACAAGGCAGTCCTACCTGGTAAGACGTCCTCAGGCAAGTCCTTCTGCTTGGCAATCTTCTCCTCTAAGGTCAGGATGCAGAACTCATAGCCAGCCAGGGCTAATTTGTGCCTGCAAAGTGCAGCAACTGAGCAAAGCAAAGCAAAGCTCCTTCAATCCCTGAAGGGATGGATGTGAACACCTTCAATCCCTCATTCTACAGGGCCTGCAAGACAACTTTTCCCCTTCACAGGACCCTTTTTGCCCTCTGTGCAGAGGTGGAAAGGGCCCCTCTTCCCCCCAAACAAGGCCAGCTAAGGCAACCCGTGGCCAATGCACCACGGAAAAACAAAACTACAAGTTACTAGCCACTAACTGCTTCAAATCCACACCTCACAGGAAAGAAGGCTTTTAAGTGATGTTTCTCTGGCTACTTCTGCCCTAAGAGGGGCAGGTCCTAACAGCAATCTGTGGCAAACCCTGCTACACGACTACACGTAGCTACATAGCTACAGACTGTGAGTAGGCAAATACCATGCCTGTGGGAACCTTTATGCTGATGGCATCTTGTCACATCAAAGCTTCCTCAGGCTCTGTTCTCTGATACCACTGTCACTCTGAAGCTGAGATGAAAGCAAAAGATGCCTTTAGCAAGCAACTCACTGTTTTTGAGCAGCATAGATACTGGCCAGCTTGAGGGACATCTCAAGGATTGCATTGTCATCCTGCCAGGAGGACACACAATGCAACTGTTATTCTTTTTGCATCTCCCCAGTAGAAACATTACTTTGTCAGAGTACAAGTTTAGACTTAAAAATCCCCCTCCTTTTCTCTCCAGAGCTACCATCCAGTAAAGGAAGTTCCTGAGAAGCCAGCAAGCTCATAGCTAGTATTGCAAATTTCCAGCAGGAGGTATTACAGCACAAGAAATAGACCAAAGAGACATGCACCACTGTTAAAACTTCCAGCTGAAAGCCTTTATCAGAAGAACATACCTCTTTCGTGTCCCCTGAGAGCAAATAGCTCATACTTGCTTTGTAGAGTTTTTCTGCCTGAAATGAGAATTTTGAAGAGAACATTGGGGAATGATGGCACTTAAAAGATCTCTACCCTTTACAAAGGCAGACTACTGGGAAAACCTGTCTTACAGTTTGTGGCATTTACATTGTACATCAGTGTTAGGTAGAAGTGAAAAGCTAACCAGAGCCCAACATGCTAACACCTAGCAGGTCCTTTCAGTTTCTACTTTAGGATTGCTACATCAGTCATGAGTATACCACGTCTTTGTGCCTTCATGGCTGTCCCAAGTTCATCTCGGGACAGTCATCTAAGTGCTTCACTGCAGCATTTGACAGTAAGAAGTATTCCTTTCCTTCAGCACCATGCTGAAGCTCAGAAACTTATCTGCAAAGGCATTTTTCTTGGCAGAACATGCTCTACAGCACTGCAGTTTCAAGGCAGATCACTCCGCTTTTTACTGGAAGGCCTCTGCCTCACAACTCAGCCCCTGCACAAGATGTCAGCCTCAAAATTCAGAGGGTAAAAACCAGAGTTACTCACATTATCCAGCTGTCCCTGCATGAAGGCCACGTTTGCCATCTGGAAGAGACGGAGAGTGCTGAAGGGCCACAAAGACTGCAGAGACTTGCCTCACTAAGTAAAACTGCTTTTCCTTCTATCTACAGCTCCACCACAGCCCCCGAACTACCGGAAGTAGTTCCCCGAAGGGAACTCAGAGCCCCACAGCACCTTCCAGCGTGAACCAGACACTACACAGCGTGGTCCCTGCCAGCCCCCCAAGCCTCACCATGCTGTAGGTGTAGATAATGGCTTTCCTGTTCTCCGACTGGTGCGACAGCCGCAGGGCTTCGTGCAGAAGCTTCTCGGCCTCCCCCAGCTCACCCTTCATGACGCTGAGCTGCGGAGACACAGGGCAAAGCCGGGGGGCAGCTCACGGGCCAGAGCCCCCGCTGAGCTAACACCCGCCATGGCCGCGGCCCTGCAGGGGACGGCGCCTCACCTTGGCTCTCTTCAGCAGGAGGATAATGGCGTCCTCGCCGTCCTCCTCAGCGTCCCTGGGGAAGAGGGAGAAGGCTGCGGGCCGAAGGTGACCGCCACATGGCCACACACCGCCGCGACCCGCAACCCGAGGCCCGCCTCACCTCCCAGGAAGGTCAGAGCACCTCCGACCGGCCGGGCCCATCGCCACCGCTCAAACCCCGTCCTGCCGCTGCTCTCTTCCCCGCGGGCCTCGCCGCGCCAGGCGGCCCGGGGTGGCCGGAGCCCCGCGGGGTAACGCCGGGCAGACAAGCGACACAGGGCTCGCGGCAGCGCGGCCCCCAGCATCGTCCCCCGCGGGCCCTTTAAGAGCTCGCACTAGCCACGTGATGTGCGCCTTGCGTCACGTGGGGCAAAGGGCGCTTGTTGCTATGGAGACGCGGCTTCATGGCGGTGCAGGTACAGGTAGGCCAGGCCCCAGGGCCGCTGTCTCATAACCGGCCGCTCTAAATAGCTCCGACGCCGCTCTGCCGTAACGAGGGAGCCTCCGGGGACCGCGGCTGGGAGTGGCGGTGCTGGCTGGACTGCCGCTGCTGGGGCCTGGCGGCTCCCGGCCCGTTTGTGAAAGATCAGCGGGCAGCAGCCGGGGCAGCCCGGGCCAGGGGCTTCTCCCCGTGTTCCCCCGTCCGCTTCCACGGGGTATGTTCACACGTGGGGGGGGGTCTGAGAAACACCCTTGTGTTGTGGAAAAACCCTTTGTTCTGAGAACGTGTGAAAAACACGTTTCAAATGTTGGTGGAGATGCTTTTGGCCTCATTGCAGGGTTGGGATGTAGTAGTGCCCAGTTAACCTGTCCTGGTTTATGGTATCTGCAGTGTAATGACTCCCACTGTTCTCTTCAGCCTTCCTTCCAGTCAGGAGGCCAGAGCTGACAAGATGGACAGTACCCTGCCGGCAGTAGCAGAAGAGCTTTTGAGAGAGATCAAAAAGGCTTTTAAGGAGACCTCACACGGTACGTAAATAAAAACCAGACCCATCCCAGCAGGTGGTGGGCCAGTCATAACCTTCAGTGAGCAGTGAGGGTTGTTGGCATCCCCTGGTTCCCATCTCCAGCCTACTGGGTGGCCTTCACCTTCAGGAGCAGCAGGTTATACGGGGTGTTTCCAGTTGTCCTTGTGTAGAGACAACACAAAGGGGTTGGAAGCACAGATAATGAGGAGTAGCCCCCTTCTCAAAGTCAGGCCCTTTTGGAAATTAGACCAGTTTGGACACGTTTTTGAATGTGGTGCCTACGTTCAAGATATTGCTTGCTTCGAGTTTGCAGTGCAAGTGGTTGCATTCAAGGGATGATGCTTTACATATTTCTAGGCGGGCGTTTTGTTGTGCCTATGTCCTGCTGTTTTTATAGACTCGCTAATTTCAAAACGAGAATTGAAAGGGAAACCTTCCTAGAAACGATGATGTTTCATGACTGACCGGCAGAGGGGGTGGTGTTGGTGATTCAGGGCAGAGAGCAACTTTCCCGTTGGTTGAATGAAGCAAGCAGAAACCAGCAGTTAGATCTTGGCCAATTCTGACAGGTAGATAAGAACAATTACCTTCATTGCACTTCGGATTACTAAAGTAGTTCTGTAAACTGTGCTGAAAGAATATTGCTCTTTGTGTTTGCATGATAAGTAGTGCAGAATGGCTCTTCCTAAGGAAGGGAGTGTTTTTAAATGCACTAAACCCAAGCAAATAAACGTTCAGAGAGGTCAGAGCACTACATGTGAGTGGGGAATGAGCAGAGATTTAACGTCTAAACTGGCAGAGTGACCACATTGACACTTTTTTGACATGCTTGCAGTATAGTTCCAGTCAGGTTAGAGTAGATCCAAAATCTGCATGTAAATTTTTAGAAGAGCCTTATAAATCCTGTTGTAAACTAGGAGGGGAAAAAAAAAAGTCATTATTTTAAGGTATACTTCTCCTTAAAGCAAAATAGTGCTAAGACATACACTGAGACATAACTGCAGAAACAAACTTATCAGTCATTTTGGAGTATTAAATTAGAATAAAGCTGGTAAAGTCAAACCAAAAGCTAAGTCATAGAGAATACCTTGAATTGTTGGAACAAAGGATTTTAAAGTCAGAAGTCCCAGTCTTCCACTGGAATACAGAGACACAGTACACTGTGTCCTATTAGTGATAACAGAAAGATCAGATTGATCAGGGTGATCAGACCCTAAAATGCAACAAACAGATTTTCCTAAGTGTAACTTTCCATCTTAACAAGAAGTTCCAATAAGTGAAGACATTGTGTTTCTGTGGCTGTATTAAAAGCTATAAACTAGTGGCGCCCTGCAAGACTGTGCTGAGAAAAGAACAACATTTTTAAAGACTTGATGCCAGAGTTCCCAACTCATGCCAAGAGAGTTTCAGGGAAACTAATATATATGTATTTTTAACCAACTTCTTAAAGCGGCAGAGTAAGATGTTGAGGCCCTATGCCTTTTCTTGCATGCTTTTAAAAGTAGGATATTACAAAAGTAGGTAGATTTGGGATTCTGCATTTCTTTTGAAAATTAATCCCTGTGGTTCTGAGTGCTGTACTTGATACATGCTTTAGTACTACCATAACTTATCATTTTGCTGCTCCTTGTTGTTTTTTGATGGCTGGAGACGGTGGCTAGAGTACTGCAGTCCTGTGTGGCCTCAGGGGGCACCTTAGGGAGACCCCAGCTTGCCTGTGATATCGATGTCTATCACAGTGGGGAAGTTCAGCAAAATCATACTTCGTTTTCTTTTTGTTTCAGTCCCTGATGACCTGCTGCTGGGGTGAGTATCCTTTGCTTCAGCTCTTGTCCCAAGTGTCCTGCTAAAGGGCAGTTGATAGTCTGCTCTCATAATACCACTGGTTTTTTTCCTGTGTTGACCAGTACGTGTTTCTCATGCAGAGTTGCTATGTAGTAGTGGAAATGAAGGTCCAAAGAGACAATCTCAAGGCTTTTTCCAGAGATTCATGAAATTCTCTATATTGCTGAATCTCCTGTGATGACTTGCTCTAATTTGGGTGGATTAAGCATGCAGAAACACGGAATGTTTAACCTGAGCTCTGAGTTCACCCTCACATCTGGGATGAGTTTTCTGTAAGAGTGGACTGTATTTCAGAGTGATTCATGCTGCTGGAGTGCTGCATCTCCACTGTATTCGTATCACTGTGAGCACAGCAACATCCTGAGATCCCTTCTTCCATCTGAGTCATGGGCATGTGTGATAGAAAGGGAGAAAGGAACATATCATCTCTCTGCACAAGGGAATTGTTAACTGAAGATTACCCTGACAGTTTTCTTCTCTTTAGAAGAGGTTTCAGGTCAGCTTCGTCACCCTGGTGTTCATTGAAGCTTGGGAATATTTCAGTCATTTCCAAGCAGTCTCCTAAGAGAACCAAGGTTCACAACTTCTGTAGACCCTCTCTAATTGGTATTGAAGGTAGGGAAAAGGCACCATCACAGTAAGAAAGGCTTTTCAGATTCATCTTTAACTTTGTGTTCCTGCCTGCCTGTAATTGAGCCAGGAGAGATCACCAAGAATCCTTCAGGCCTTACTGTCTTTGAGTCTAAAGTTACCTAACATAACACTAGTGAAAGGTATGCATGTTGGCTTCCTCTTCTAGGACCACAATGGCCTTTGAAGGTAGGATTATATTTGACAACTCTCTTAACTTTTTGTTTCCTTCTTGTCATAAAAGAAAAAAGGAGGAAAGAAATTCCCGTGTTAAGTTTAATAGCAGTTGGGTGGTAACTCTTGGCAGTCAGATTTCCATCCCCCATGACCAGCAGCTCAGAAGTAATTCTGATTTAATTTCTGAATGTTTTCCAAATCTCTGAAGTCTTTGAATTTCCTTTGGGCATTCCCTTATTTATTTCCTGTTAGACTGATATAATTAAGTATATGGAAAAAAGAATTCCCTAAATTTGAAAGAGTTACTGAAACCCACTAAACTCAGCCGCCTTATAATCCAAACCTAATCATTAAGGAATGTCTTACGTTGAGTGTTCCCCCCACCCACCTCCTCTCAGTCCTCAGATGAAGCCAATCCTTATTGCCTTGAGTTTGTGCAACTGAAGTTTAGTCTTCCTGGAATAAGTCTGTCTGCTTGGCTTGTTATCAATGAGATTGACTCAGACACATAGGTCAGCCATGCTGCTGAGACGCCAGGGCTCTGCCTTGGCTCTTTGTGTCTTCACTGGAGTTGAAAAACGTTCCTCTGCTTTCTTTTGTTCTCTTGCTTATGTTTTGTGCTATCTTTTCATCACTGCTGATTTTCTTGTTGTTTATCCTTGTAACTAATCTCTACTACACAGATTTTTCTCAGCGGATAAAAGGTCTGTAAAGTTAACTGAGTTGCCCCTGAGCATTTTGGGACACATTCAGAGCAGCTGGGTATACAAGTCTAGAATAACTTTTAAGTCTTATGAGCTGTATAGACAATAGGCTACAGGTACCAATGTCCATATTTGACATAGAGCTTATCATATAACCTTGCAACAGCACCAGCAGGATATAAGAACTCCTTGCCAGGATGTGCAGCACCAGGGCTGAGGAGATAGTTGTGTAAAGGCAATGTTTTGCAGGAAGCAAACATATACCTGAGCAAACCTGGCCAACCTTGTCTTTACTCCACTCCAGGCACTGTCTGATCCATGAAGCCTGTGCAGTAGTGCATCCCTGCATGTGTTGTGCCCCGCTTGGAAGGAAGGGAAAAGGAAAGCGGATTTAGGGAGGATGTAGTGACATAAGGGATGTGCTGTCCCTGGGTTTTATCTGAAATAAATTTGCTGTCTCTGAGTCCTGCTGGAAGCTGGATTACAGATGTAAAACTATCACTATCCAGTGGCGTCATGTGCAGTGGAGTGTCTTAAGTATTTCCTTGACGGTCTTTAGCTTTCTATTGATGCAGTTTGGTGTGTAGAGAAAGAATAATTTAGAACTTAGTTGTAATAGAGGAGATGCAATCACTGCAAAATGATTAATTTGTTCCCTGGAATTTAAACCAGTTTCCCTGGGATGAGGAAGGAGCCCTGGTGCTACATTTCCTGTTGCTCAAGGAGCTACGTATCATCCTTGCTCTGTCTTTGCTGTGAAGCATGATGTGTGGGCCATGCCTGGAGGTGGGATTCAAGACCAACTGATCAATAATCTCACCCAGGGCAACTCATCCAGGACAGCCTGTGTGTACAATTAAGGTGTCCCAGAGCACGAGCCCCTTTTCCCCGTAGAATTAGTGAGTCTGGCTCCATGTGCTCGTCTACCTGATGCTGCCCCCACTAAAACCCCTGTTTATGCTCATTGTCCTCATGTGAGTTTACTGCAACAGGGATAACTGGGCTGGGTGTGTGACACTGCCTGTTGCCTGTAACCCCAGCACTGTGCATCCCCCAGGATTTCCTTCCTGCATCTTCTCTTTTCCAGCATGTCTTGCTTTTGCTGCCAGAGGTACAGTTTCCCTTAAAGAAGACCTGGTGTATTTAGAGTGCTGGGCAGAAGCAGAGTTTCCAGTTTTAGAGTCTAGATTCACTGTTTGATAAATTGGTAAATCTCCAGTGCTCTGTCTGCACAGAATTTGCATCGGAAGGGCTATGGGAATACTAACAAAAAAGCTGCTCAGATCACTGTAAGGACAGCCTGTGGCTCTTATTTCACCTACCCTCCCTTTTCAGTAATGAGTGATCTCTAAAGTGACTGTCAAGCCAGAAATGCTGCTCAAAGATATCTCCTTGCCTACATGGCTAACGCTGTGTCACAGTCATAGAGACTGACTAAAGACTCACTTCTGTGTCTCTGATGCACTTTGTCTCATTTTAGTTCAGGACAGGAATCACTTCATGTCCTGTTTGTGCAGCAGACAGCCAGAATAGTGTTTGGGTCATAGTATTGAAGAAGAAACACACAAGATGTAATGTCCTGTGTAAGAAAAATCTTTAAAATGTCATGTAATTAAATCTGAGTGGGATTTTGCAAAGAAATGTGGGACTGTTTAGGAGCAGCTTGGAAATTTGGAAGTTATCTTAAGAATATCAAAACCCAGGTCTGAATAGCCTGCAGGATAGAGGCTGTCCTTAAGAACTGAGTCCTGGGGTGTCCTCGGAGGGACAGGACAAGGATTAATGGTCACTTAGTGAAATGAAGCAGAGCTGAGAATGACAAATGCTCTTCATTGCTTGGTAGCATAATCAATGGAGCTGTAACTGGTGGGGTTTTGGGGGGCAATGGGAACCTTTGGCTACAGGCTTTCTGGACACCATAGGGCTATATCCTATGATGAGGCTAAGCCAAGAGATCTCCTTTTGTGGTGTGACCTTACTAGAAACACTTTCTCTTTCAGGCTGAAGTTCATATTTGGCCCATGTGCTGTCCCAGCTTTGGATCTGGTGGATCAGCGTTGTGTCACCCGAGTCACATCCCCCAGTGGAAGGACTGCATACCAGGTACATGCTCCTCTTCAGTCTCACTTTCTGATGGTTCCGGCTGACATATGAGCCAATATTTTGCTAACTTGCAGTATGTGGAAGAGCACTTGGATAAACACAGAGAGAATATCGGTGTTTTACAAACTCCTGAAGTGATACTGGAAAGCATTAGCCATGAATTAGAACAGCCTTGTACATTACCATTTTCTTTGTGGCTCCCAGCCAGTCAAAGACAATTTTTTACATGTTTGTGGGTTTCATGGTCAGAGGAAGTTTTCCAGGAATTGCTAATTTTGCTTTATTACTTCCATCCCACCCAGCAAAGGCAGTCCTTCCTCTTGACAAACTACGCAATGGAGTGTTATCTGCCATCACTGCATTTCTTTCCCTGTTGCACTCCAGATCCACAGTGTCCTGAACACTCTTGACCTCTGCTTGGCAACAGGATCCTTGCTGCCTTGGAGGAAGCAGTGTAGGCCAAATCCGTGGGTTTCATACTAATTCACTGTTGCCAAGTCTGTGAATCACAGAAACATCTTCATAAAATGGCATTTTAGAGAGAAGAGCTCACCTTAGCCCTAAAGATCAAACTTCTTGCAGCATGGGATTGGAGATGGAGCTGAGGCTCATTAGGTGAGGAGAGAAGCCATTGGCACTTCTTTCTGACTTTTCTGTTGTATGCACAATTTCTTGCTCTACTGTGCCTCAGCACCAGTGAGCAGCCACAGGAGGTCAGAGTCAGAGAGACACTCCGTGCTGTGCCCTAGCTAAAGCAGTGGGATCCTCTGCTTATAAGATTTTGGTGAAGAAGCACCCAATTCCTACTATTTAGCACTACTAACCCCCTCAGACAGCACAACCCCCTCTACTACTGAACGTGGTGCTGTGCTTTTTCCACACACCAGTGATCTCTTTGTTCAGTGTTGTAGCAGTGAAGAGGAATATTTCCAAATATCCTCCCTGCAAAGGGCCTTCCCTCCTTCCCTGGAGGTGCTGAGATGCTTTGGGGTCATCTAGGGTAAGAGAAGAGCTGTAAAGCCAGGCCTGGGTAATGACATAAACGTTTTTCACATGTTTAGAGCTTGCATAGAGCCTTTATCACTTCTGGGGCTTTGGAGAGGACATTGGCCCCTCCAGAGAGGCATGATTCATAAACATACAGGGCCCAAGAACACAGCCTTTGATTTTAGTTGAGGGCTTGCCTGTGGGTGTTTGGTAAAGCCTAAGAAGCTCTGCTGCCAGGACCCTGAGATAGCAGCTGCCTCATAATTCAATGCTTAAAGGCCTTTCCTTTTTTACAGTTGCTCAGCTCAATATGCCAATAGGCAGAGAATAGTCACATTCTCCTTGCAGAACTTTGCAGGCTGTGATACACAGCGTTCACTTAGCACCCTTTTGTTTGCAGGATGACAGGGACTGCTTAGAGCTTCTTGTCTTTCCAGGGAGCCTGAATGTGTGCTCACATGCTTACAGCATTTTGCAGCACGGCAAAGTTATCTGCATCTGAAGAGGCTTAATATACATCTCTTAGATGTAGAAGCCTCATGAAACATGGAAGAGTTCAGAGAAGCATGCAAGAGAGCTTTGATGTGCTGGCTGCAGCCGTGACACCTTCTTCTGGGCAGGGCAGGGTTGTTGCTGAACACTGCATCTGCTACAGCAGAGAAGGAACCCCTGGACAGGTAGGTTGGGGCTGATCACCAGGAGTTAATGTAGGAAAAGGTCAGCCTTGAGCACACTTGGTAGCTGGTGGATATGATGTGAGCAGCCCCACTGCATCACCCAAGGTCTGTGCCTGTGTCCTCCCAGATGACAGGCAGCCTACAGGAAGCAGTCCCTGCCTGCAGGTGCACGAGTGCTTCCGAGCAGCATTCCTCTTTAGTGGAGCTTGATTTCTGATTAAGGCTCTGCTGATGAGTTCATTAACAGAGGAATCCAAAGAGATATTTTCTCTGGGGGTGTCAGCCTGGTCCCATTGCGAAATTCTTCCTCAGCACATCTGTCTGAGATGCAGAAACAAAGAGCAGAGCCTCCCTTGAGGCCACAGGCTGGAGCAGTGACAGGAACACAATCTGGGGCTCTAGAAACTGAAACAATGAGTGGGATCCTGCACTGAAGAGTAGCTGCGTAGTGTCCCTGGCTCTTCATTATGTGTGTGTGTGGTGCAGATGTGTATCCCAGCTGTGTGCACTTCTTCCTCTGCAGGGAAGCATGCTCACTGCAGTAGGGAGAGAGGGGCATCTGTAGCTGCCTGGACACATGCACAGTCATCCCTTTCACTCATCCCCAGAAAGGGGGATGCAAGTCTGCTGTTTGCACCCAGGTGTGGTTGAGCTGGAATGTGAGGTGGTGCTCTCACTTGCAGCTGGATCTGGAGAGCTCTTCTCGTTGCTGGCATGAGGCTGGTCCTACCGTGAAACCTATGATTTGTCATTTAATGCTTGGGCATTCATGCCTTTGCTATGTAATAGAGTAGCACCGATGACTACTGATGGGGTATTCAAGTGCTGATGTTAGCTCAGAGTTGTTAATCATCCCAGAAGGGCTTGTATGACACCTGCCCATGCTACAGACTAAAGCCAACTCTTGTAACTCCAGGTCAGGGATAAATAATCCTTACCTGCTGCAGAGATGGTGGATGTGCATGTGGCTGATGCTGGAGCTGTCAAGTGTCAAGTGGTGAGCAGACAGCAGTTGGGCACCTATTAGCTATGGCTGAGCTGCAGAAATGCTGTGAGAGCAAAGCCAGTTAGCAGGGGGAGAGGCAGTGCTTTAGCCCTCCTGCTGAGTGTCACTTGCACTGCTCACATCCTGCACTTTTATTGGGTTCTGCTGTTTTATGTCTTTTTAAATTAATTTCCTAGAGCTGTATGGCAGCCTGCCCCACAGTGAAAGATTTCAGCACCAGATCCTGGCACAGGCTGTACTGCTGCCTAGCTCTGTGTGCCACCTAGCAACTGCTGTCAGAGCCGGCCCCTTGCATCCCCACACACTGGCAGGAACACCACTACCAAGGTGATCTTTCTTCACTGTGCAGCCAGCAACTGCCAGGTTTGGCAAAAGGGAAGGGGAAAGAAATCTCACAGCATCTCAGGTCCAAGAGAGCACCCCTGTGCCTGGCTTGGCTGCAGCTGGCCAGAAACAGAGGCACCTTTTTTGCGTGGTCTTTGGATTTTAGTCTGCCCTATTACACAGAAGATGTATTCTTGCCATCTAGGTCAGGACGGGGGAATACTAAACTCAGGCCAAATCTGGCAGCGTCTGTGTCTTGCCCCACCTCCTCAAAGCAAAACACTTCTGAAGGAAAGGCACCATCGGAATCCTTCATCTTGGAAAAAAACAATCAAAGGGCCTAGAGAAAAACAAACTTATCACAAGTGAAACAAACTCAGCCTGGAGTATAAGGAGGGTGCAGGGTAAAGGCCAGACTGAAAACAAAATGGTTTACTCTGAAATGGGAATGTGAGTCTTGTGTCCTGATTCTGCTGGCAGTAAGGGGGATTAGGAGGCATAGGTGCTGCCGTGGGAGAGTTTAAATTTGTGAATGTTACCTGTCAGGCAAGGAGTGCAGAGAGCTCCTGGGGACAGGGGAAGGCACCCCTTGCGTGTGCAGCTCTGGACCAAGGTGGATGATGTTCCTCAGCAGGGACTTAGGAGTGCCAGAGGTGTCCTGGAGGGGAGCAGCATTCTGCAGATCTCCACTGTCTTTTCACTTCTTTGTGTTTATCTTTGGATTTAGGTGTATTTGTGCCACAAGCCCAACCAAAATCTAGAGCCTGGTGTGGGAGAGGAGTGTCTTGTGCCACCAGAGCCCAGGGTTTGTCTGCAGAGGAGGGCACTGCTGGTGATTACACCCATGTAAATCCCCATTGTTTTCTGTAATATCCAGGAAGAGTTAGTGCCAGCTGTTGGGGCCACAGAGGGGACACAAAGCACTTGCTGTGGCAGATAAGAGACACATCATGGCAAATACTCTGTGGTAATTGTGTCTTAATCATGGAGTGCACTCAGTTTAAGCCTCAAAGCATTAGTGAAGTCCATTCTATTGAGTCAAGTTTCTGCTTGAAAGTCTGTGTGTTCTGCTCCTGCAGACCCTTCCCTTGCAATAGGAGTGGAGAGAGCAGTTGGCTCTCAAAGTAGCTTTCTAAAAGCCATTTCCCAGTCTTGAGGAAACCAAAAGAGAAATAATCCATAGGTTGGCTTTCCTGTACCAAGAAGTCAGCTCCAGCAGCTCACAGCCTCTCCATGCTGGAAATGAATGCTTCCCACACATGATATCCCACATCCTGTGCCCATTGTGCAGAGGGAATATGCCTCAGTACCAGCCTCGGAGAGGAACAGCATGTGGGAAAAGAAGGCAGTGCTGTTCCCAGACCAGAGATGGAGCAGAGAGGCTTCTTCTCTGGAGACTTCAACTTTGTTTATTCAGACAAAACTAGATTCCAATAGCTGCAGCTGCTCTGGGAGAAGAGCATCAAGAGCTTTTGCAGCCATCAGCCACTGGAGCTGGTTAGGAAAGGCTTCACTGCAAGTGCTCACTGCTGCTCTCCTTCCAATCTCAGGCCTGTGGTGGATTCACAAACGGGTTTTCTGTGACGAGAGTTTTCATCATGCTCATCTATCCTAGAGGGGCTGGCAGCTCGCTGTGCTATGGGAGATCAGGGGAGGGGGCTCTGTGCTTGGTGTCACTGCCCTTTTCCTGATCTCTTAGCAGCAGGGAAGTCACTGGAGCTGAGGTCTGCTGCAAGTATGGGAGCACTCCTCGCCTGTAGGGAGAGAGGTGTGGAGAGAAAGCTGAGGAGCTTCAAGATTGCAGTGAGTCTTTGTAAAAGGGACATCAGACATAGGCTAAGAGTTAGGGAAGTTAAAAGTGAACGCTGCCTCTGACTTCACCCCCTCCATCTGCCTTTGTTTCAGGTTCTTGGGAGCTCAGGCAAACTCTACACCTGCTATAGTTCCTGCCACTTCTGCACATGTCCTGCTTTTGGGTTCACTGTATTGCAGAAGAGCGAGAGCCTTCTGGTAAGTTCCCTGCCTTAACTTGGGGCTGGGACAGGGAGCAGGGGAGAAGCTGTGCTCTGCTTATTGAACCTGAGCAGCCTGAAGTTTCCAAGGAGTAAATGCATGAGTGTTGAGTTGGCCATGCAGGCTCTGCCTGACCCACTGCATCATCTGCCTGCTGGGAGTCGTGGTATTTGGGTGGAGCTCAGCTTTACAAGGGCTAGAGAGGGCTTTTGTTCTTACTTAGGCATTACTGTTCTGACTTTCCAGAGATGAATAATCCCTGCTCCCTTGGAATGAGGGCTACTGCTGCTAATGGGACTGCCACATGGGGTGTGGCTGATGTTCACCTGGTGCCAGTGAGGAAGGGCTCAGGGTAACCAATTGATCTGCAATTGTGGGAAGGACATCAGAGGCCAGTAACACTTTGTTGTGTGTCAGATCCCTGTATTACATTATCCTGATGGCAGAACTGACCATAGCCAACTGGAGCACCAGCCTGTGCTAGGGCTTGGTGTGCCAAGAGAGAACCACGTTCCTGGGAGGGGAGAGCACTTCATTAGACCAGGGTGGATTTTTGTAGCTTCCACATAGCACATTGACATTCCTGTGTAGCTCCTGCTGTTAACTTGGCTGTGCTATTATTTGCTATTATTTGCAGTGCAAACATATACTTGCTGTCTACCTCAGTCAGGCCATGGGAGCCTGTCAGGAACTAACAGTGTCTGAGGAGCAGCTCATAAACATCTTACTGGCTGATGAAGAGGACGAAGGATGAAGGATTTGTATCACATGTGGATGTGCCTTCTGTGTACCCTCCCAGCTGTGTTGCTGGCTTTTTTTGTATCTACAAGGGTGTCAAATATTCATAATGGCTGGTAGGTTTCTTCCTGTGCTGCAGCCAAGTGTGACATTAATTAGCATTAGAATTGATAGATTAATTAATAAATGTTAAGAAGCCTATGTTGACTTCAGCTTCATTTCTTTAGGCTATTCTTGGGGTATTTGAAGGTGATTGAACTAATCTGTAATATTATATGCTTGTGATGTGGGGATACAAACAGCCTGTTTTTTACAGCTACAATTTCTGTAGCTGCAACTTATGATTCATCACTGTCAAACCTGTACCAGGGATTAGGGCAGGGATTCCTCAGCATCTTGAGACTGGTGTTTCTGTTGTGCTTACTGCACTACGTGATCTTTAGAAGCATCACCATGGTAGCTGTGCTTTTCAGTCGACCCATTTCAGACAAGTCTAGTACCTCATGCTGGCAGGCAAGGCGAGGCTGTCCACACCAGACACGGGGGAAAGAAGACTACTGCTACCCTGTTCTGCACAGCAGCCAGTGCTCTGGGAATCAGCTCTTTCCACCTCTGTGCAACCCTGCCAGTGCTCCGAGATTGGGCCTGTCTTGGAGTACAGGGTGGCCTCATATGACACGTGTGTGAATGCAACACAGCAAGAAATGATGGGGCAGAGGCTGAGCCAGGTTGCGTAGGTGGTAAATTAAGCATTCTGTATGTAAATGACAGTTACTGTAAATACAAAATCTGAGCAACACGAGGAAAACACATCATCCTATGTACATAAGAGCAGTAAGGAATGAAAGCTGAATAGCTACAGCTGCGCTCGCTACAGAAATTCCTCTGCCATTTTAACTTCACATTTTTCTAGATATCTTCAGAGCTTTTTTTTTTTTTTGGTGGGGGGAAAGGGAGGTGTTCTGTTTTTATTTTGCCTTGAAATGTCTTTGGCTCAGATCCACAAAGGCACTTAATGTGCCTAAAGCCCTTGGTGACCCAGGCCATAGTTGCTAATGGCTAACAACCCAAGGGCAAGTTTGTACTAAGGCGGCATCACAAGTGTCTGCAGGAATTCTGGCTCATAGGAGGTGTAGGAAAGGTAGCAGTGATGGCTGCTGAGCTGCAGTGCAAGCTGTCACATACAGGAAGTGTTCTGGGACATCTCCGTGTTGCAGCACTCTGTGTTTCAGTCTGTCCATGCTGTGCAGAGCTTGCTTCATTTTCAGCCAGCAGGAAGGGAGAGATCACATTCTTTGTTGTAAGGATAAATGTGCCTTGCAACTGCTTTGCAGCACTGCCAGACCTGCAGGTGAAACCCTGCTTGTTTCCAGCCATGATTAACAGAAGGAACCCAGCCAAAGATCATACAGAAGGGAAGGACTGAAAGGAGGAGAGAGTCAAACCCTGCCCAAATGGCAAGAGGTGGCTACATGTGTTAGCTGGACTATGACCAAGACAGATGCAGCAAAGATGAATGGGGCTGTTAAAGGAGAAACACTTGGGACAGTAACTTTAACTGTTCAGCTTCTTCTTGGAAATGCCAGTATCCGAGATACTGAGCTGTAGCTAAATTTGGACATTGCATAAACATGTACAAACCCATTCAGAGCCTTCTGGTGATTCACCCAGGTTTGAGGCTGGCTCTTACAGCTGAGCTGTGACACACACAGCAGCAAAATCCATCACTACCAGTGAGCTGTTCCCTGGCTGCATGGTGGGCCCAAGCCACACCTGCAGCACTGCCCAGTCACTCCAGCTGGCACAGCACATGCTGCAGGAACAGGAGTTCTTCACATCAGCTTTTCAGCTAATTTTACACATTTGTCATTATATACACCAGAGAAATGAAACTCTTGGGGTCTTCTATTACTCCCCTTTTAGTGCAATGCAGTTAAAAAAAAATAGCTGATTTCTGTATGATTCAAGTACAATTTATCAGGGACAAACTGCTCCAGACATTGCAGTCTGCCCACTGGACTTGTTCTTCAGGAGCTGGCTGTGTTTAAACTTCCTTCCCTGCTCTGAAAGCCCTGCTTGCTCTCTCTGTCTCCCTGCATGAGTTACCACTGAAAACCCCCTTTCATACACACCCTTGCACTTCTCACTGGTTGCATGGTGAAGCTGCTGGAGACAGACAGGTCCACTTTACCACACAGGGACCTTCAGGCAAGAGTCCTGTTTGTAAAACAAAGGCCATGCCAGAAACATTCACAGCAATGCACGTGCCATCATGCATCTGGAGAAGCAGAGCATTCAGAAATGAATGTGCTGTTCTACCTTTGTCTAGTTTTACATGTCACAGTTACATATTAAATCAGGTGCAGTAATCACTGAGCTGTGATTGCAGAGAGTTAGGAACCTGCAGTACCAATTTACACTGTTGAGTGGGCTTTGTACTTAGGTCAGGCCAGGACTCCTGGCTGACTGCAGAGGCTGCAAGGTGAGCTTCAGCCCCAAGAGCTTGGTGAAAATCAAGTAACAAGGCAAGGCATTCTAGCTTCTCAAATGAAGTAGCTCCCCTATAGTCTCTTTTGCTAACAGTGCAGGTCAGGATTAAAAAATAGAATGCAAAAATAAGAATCACCATTAGAAAACAAAGCACTCACAGCTTCTGTGGGTTACTGGGCTACAGAGGAGCCTCAAGAGGACCAAGCTTCAGGAATCAGGTGAGCTGCAGCAACCAGCTATCCCAGCTAAACCCAGCACTTCTGGAAGCACTGCCAGGCTGTCAAGGTTTGACTTGGGAGCAAAAACCTCATTGTAGATATCGTGTCACCAAATCAGGGTTTGCAGTAACCTCAGTGAGTGGAGCAGCCTAGCTGAGTCTTAGGGCACATCTGTCTTTTGCATTTTCCTCGCTGGAAATAGATTTGAAAGCAAACCTGAAGACTGGGCTGCACAGTCCTGTAAGCCAAAGGGATTTAAAGGCAATAAAACCACTGAGCTAAAACTTCAGTCTACTCTTTCCTAAAATTCTTCTCTTTCAGTAAGTAGGGCCTCCAAGCTGGGGCCAGAAAGAGCTGGCCAGTTCTGAGCTTGTTTTCCCATCAACACAGTCACGTCCCTCAGAGCCTGGAACGCAGATTCAGTTTCACACCAGCAACTGGGCTAAGTAAGACTTTTTCCCATTGGAGAATACTAGCTGCATCAAACAATTGATGGAATAATTTGGGTATTACCAAAGTGCTGTCAAGTACGGACTTAAAGAACAACTCAAAACCCAGACACAAAATTATTACTCCTAAAGGAATCAAAAGCTTAAAAAAATAATAATAACAATTAAAATAGGACTTGACACGAGCAGCACAACTGGGGAAACACCCCCAGCAAGTGGGTCTTCCACAGTCAGTGTCTGACCTGGACTGGAAACACAACACGGTCACCAGCACTCACGCAACCTGGGTTTACAGTCAGTCTCCCTGCTCAGGTTATCCCTCCAGGAGGCACTGTGTTAATTACAAAAATAATAATAATAATAACAAAAAATACAGCTGCATAACTGCATAGTGGTCATCTCTGAGCGCTCCTCCGGGAGCGAGCTGCAACTGGTCACAGAGGCACAGGGGAGGGTAGTGTCAGGGACACTGCAGGACCCCAGCAGCAGGACATGCAGGGTCATATGGTGACAGAGGCTACAGGACAGTTAATGTTGGTGACAGTCAGGTGCTGGTTGTTGTCAGTGGTGCACTTGGGGAAGTCGTCGTTCTTACAGAGGATCTTGGAAATGATCTTGCGGAAGGTGTAGCGGAAGTCCCTGATCCGGTAGGCGTAGATGATGGGGTTGATGACAGAGTTGGCATGGGAGAGGATGATGGCCATGTACATCACCCACTCAGGCTTGGATTTGGAGAACTCCTCGTGGAAGAGTGTGATGCAGTTCAAGATATGCAGGGGCAGCCAACAGAAGGCAAAAAGTCCCACAATGATGGCCAGAGACTTGGCTGCGTGGACCTCCTTCTGCAGCGTGGTCCTGGAGTTGCCCATCAGTTCAATCTGATGCAACTGTTTGCAGGCAACCATGAATATCTTGATGTAGATTCCCAGCATGATAACCAGGGGAAGCAGCACGCAGCCAAAGAAGTTGAAGTACACCATGTAGCTCATCGTTACCACATTCTCAAAGAGGCATGAGATGAAGCAGCCATGGTGCTCTGTCCTGGTGTCAACCCCTGTCTCGTTGGTGGTGTTGGGACAACCGCTCATGGCTTTATTCCAGCCCATAAGTGGAGTCAGTCCAATTCCAAAGGACAGGAGCCACAGCACAGCGATGAGGCCTCTTGCCCGCTTGCCAGTCACCAGACTATTATACCTACAGCATCCAGAACAAAACCAGGATAGAGCCATTATATAAATGAGTGCTCGTGACCTCCCTGCAGTGAAAGTCATCACCATTTTGGCTGAAGCCACAAAATCCCCACCCACACCCATGTGGGAACCTCACCTCTGCCATCACCGGAGGGGTGAAAATCTCACCTGTGCTCTACACCAACACAGCAACCTGGGGAGGTGATTTACCTACTGCTCCTGAGAGGCACCAAGCACCACCCCTGCCCACAAACATCCTTCAGTGGGAGGTATGAACTGGAGTCTTAAAGAGGGCTTTATCACTGCGTGAGCCTAACCCACACACTGCGAGGAAGGCAAGAACAGGGTAAGGCTCACTCTGTAACCACCAGCTTACCCTTTTGCTCTAAGCAGCCACTAATGGGCATGCTGGGGCTTGCTACTGGGCTACATGAACTTCTGGGCTGATCTGTTACAGCTGAGACAATGCTGGCTCTCAGTTCTCCCCTGTAATAGGTAGCTAAAGACTTAACCAGCCTCACCACACACTTACAGCCTTTATACCAAAGCCAACTTGCTTCAACCTTGGCTGCTCATGGGCTTGCAGCAATGCTGGCTTTCACTGGAGATTGCAGCGGTCCTGAAATGTGATGTCCCTTCCCATGCTAGCTCACACACTCAAGTGGGAAGTACACATGTGTGTGGAAAGCAGGGATTCTGCTAGTTTCCCAAACAGTGCAATTCCTGGCTTACAGATGCCAGACTGCAGCCCACACAAACTTGTTCTGGGTGGATAGTAATACCCTGAAAGACTTTTCTGAGCCAACATCTGAAAGCAACTGCTAATGATGGATTGCTTGGGAGAATTACAAGTGAGGGTTTGTGTCTCCGTTCAGTCTCGCATCCAGGCAATGGAGCTGGGAGCCAGGGACATGGGCTCCTTTCCCTGTTTGACATCCCTGCTTTGTGCATCCTCCAACAGCACTGAAGTGGGCAGCTTCACCCAGCTCTGGTGTCAGCCTCCACTGATGTGCCAGTCCTATAAGACGTGCACCATGGAGGGACCCTGAAGCCACACACAGATCTGCAGCTTCTGAAGCCCTCAGTGGGGTTAAACCGCACAGCTGCCTGTGGTTAACTAATGCCTGAGCTCTGCTCACACACCCCAACTGCTTGTAAAGATCCAGATTTAAACCAATGCCTTCCCTGGGCACCTGCTGCTCTTACATGTGCTACCCAGAAGCTCCGCTGTGTCCCAGGGACAGGCTGATGCAGGGCCGAAGGGCACAAAGCCCTGTGCTGCCTCACTCCTTTCCCAACCCCAGGTGCCTTCACGGCCAAGAAAACCAAGGTGCCCCTTCACGTCCCAGCTTCTCAGAGACACGAACAGCGCCAGAACCTAAAGCAGCAAAAGCCAACCCAGTTTGGGTGCCCCCAGCGCGGATGCCAACGTGTCTCCTTAGAGACATGGAGAACCAGCGACTGCCATAAAGACAACATGAGAAACCCGTTCCTGTGCTCCCCCCGGCCGTTAGTGTCTGCCGGCTGACATGCATGTCCCCTCCTTCCCACCCCCTGCTCCCGGCGCCTGTTTACTCTGGCTCCGTTTCCCTGCTCCTCCTTTCCTAAGGACGTTTGTTCTGGTTTTCTTCCGGCCCGCGGTGCCGGGGAGGGCTCGGTTCCCACAGAACCGCAGCTGTGAATCTGAATCACGCTGCGGCCGCCTCCGGGCGAGCCCTGTCCCGCTCCTCCTGCCAGCCACGGAGACAGGAGGGTGAATGCGGGGGGTGTCCGCACCGAGGGGCTGGGGGGAGCCATGCTTGGGGCATGGCCAGGAGGATGCGGGGACAGCAGCCACGTTCAGGCACTGCTGACCTGTGAGCACGCTGCAGGGCGCAGGTGTCTAACGGGCAGGTGCAGCCACGGAAGGGTTTCTCCTGGACTTGTCTCTCATTCCCACTAAGCCTCGCTGCTCCAGAAGGTGAGAAGTTATCAGACAGGGCACCAGTGAGGCCAAGCCCATTGCTTTCAAAACCCCGTGGCGAGTTTTAAACAGCCAGAGCTGGTCTGGGGTTGCGGGGCCTGAAAACATGAAGATTTGATTAGGAGCAAGTTCCCAGAAATCCAGTCTCTTGGCAAAGTCTGGATCCTGAGCTCCAGCATTGGCCAAGCTTAGTGCTGCAGGAGCACTGAGAGCTGCTGCTGCCCTACAGCTCCGCACGTGGGAAGAGGAAAACGTGGCTCCTTGGCCTGCGCTGTTCACGTTTAGTTGATCCTCCCCTGCCGCATCCCAGAGCTGCTGTACTGACACTGGGAAATGCAAAAGGGACCATTGTTCAGAAACAGAAGCTGAAGGAGTGGAGCAGTTTGTGTCCCTGAATCGGGCTGTGCACAGGAACACAAGGGGAAGCCAGCACCCCTCCGCGCATCCACCACTGCCTCTTGCTGAGAACACCCGGCCCCAAGTAAGGCTCCTTCCATCTGCTCCTCTGAACTCCCCTGCAAAGACAAGGCTCATCCTGAAGGTTTACAAAAGCAGGTCAGAAGTCCCTTGGTTTTCCAGGGGCTGTGATGGTGACGGGTTTACTTTAGTGCTGCTCCCCAGCGCACAGCAGAGCTGCCGCCAGCATCACGTTCGAACACTGTGAAAGGAGATGGCAAATGTGCTGTGCAAGAGCCAGAGCAACGGGGAGGGCTGACAGCCTGTCACTGAAGAGATGGTCTTCATTGGAGATGGTTATTCACAGTGAACAACCGCGCTCCTTAGATTAGCTTTGCTTCCACAGGGATACATCACACATGATCATGAGTAAGGGTGATGGTCGCTGCTGTGACTACAGAAAGGGCCTGTGCAAACACCTGGGTACTGAGCTACCAGCCAGAAGAGGCCAAGGTGAAACTGGGAACAGCCTGATGTTCTAATGTAATTGTTATTACCTTAGTACATTGATTTGGTGGGACACTGCCTGTACTGCCCTGACGTTAAGGGAAGGTAAGCACGTGCTTAGAGATAAAGTGCGTGTTGTCACCAAATCACAGTATGAAGAGTCTTGCTGGGAGCAGCAAGTGTTGCAGCATCTACATGACACAGCAGCTCCTGCCATGAGCCACCACCAGCGAAAGCAGGCAGGGACTGTGAGAGAGCTGAGCTGGGCCCCAGCCTTTTTCTCAGCACTATAAAACATGATCAGGCAGTGAGGAACCAGGTTTTCACAGTTCTGAATGCTCCAGCAAACCCCTCCTTCATTCTCTTCTCGGCTTAATATTGTTAGGCAAACAGCTATTAAAGTAAATTTACTCACCTACTGTATAACAGCTACTGAACCTCCTCTGTGTTTCTGCCCAGGGGCATGAAATGTAGCTTCAATGTAAATAACAGCTGAATATTTAAAACTGATTTATTGAGGTGAAATAACTCTGGCAACGCATCAGTTCCTCTTGCACTGCCAGGCAGCCTCTTTACTGGCACCATCATCATCAAGCAGGTAATTATCTCTGCAGTGGACATGCTGCAGAAGCCCCCATGCTACCCTCAGTGTGCTGCCACCATGGAGTGATTCAGGATCTATTTCTCTGACATATATACCCATATGTTGGCCACCATTGTCACAGTCACACAGCCCTTGTTCCAAGTCAAATGCTTTAAAGAAAGCTCAGCTGCTTTCACCCCATGGCTCTGACCCTCTGGTCAAGCACTGCTGGCATGTGCCTGCAGAGGCTTCACGCAGAGCACCACTCTGTCACCAGGCCATAGAGTGAGTAACCACCTGGCCACTGATGTCCCCTGGGCTGGCCCATGGACTGGAGATGGTGCCCTTCACTCAGCAGACATCCTTGTCACATGCGGCCCCTCTGTTTCAGTGATGGCACAGCAAGGTCCAAAGCTTCTCTTGAAGAGCATCGTGGCAACCACCAAAATTACCAAGCTGCCCATTGGCACAGGCTGTGGGAAGTTTCTTCTGTAGGTAGGGGTCATGCTTGGGGATCTTTTCCAACAGGCCTCATGGCATTTCTCCTGCTGTTTCCTAGAGCTGGGCACCAGCCCAGACACCCAGGCAGGCACCACTGAGCACAGCTGGAGCAGAGCAGGACGCGCTGCCAGCCCACAGCCAGCCCAGCCTCTCCCGAACAGGGATTTGGCTCCTGAGTGGCAGGAACTGAGTCATGTCCTGCACGTAGCTGGCATCTCCCCATCAACCCCGTGGAGATCACCCAGGCAGAGGCACTGCTGCTGCTGAGCTCCTGTCAAACATGCATTTGGGGCAATTAGACTTGGGGTGGAAAAGAGCAACAGCCTGGAGGAACCAGTCTGGAAGGGGCCATGATTCCCATGTTATCTATCTCAGAGAATCCTTTATTTATCTCAGAGAATCTCAGACTGGTTTGTGTTGGAAGGGACCTTAAACTCATCCAGCTCCAACCCCTGCCATGGGCAGGGACCCCTTCCACTGGAGCAGCTTGCTCCAAGCCCCTGTGTCCAACCTGGCCTTGGAGCAGGAATGGGGGAGAAGAATCCCTGAAAGCTGAGCAGATCAAAACATTAGGGTTCCACAAACCCGCTCTCCTGGTGCTGGGCAGAGTCTGAGGGTGGCCCTGACCATGATGATGGTCTGGGCCCTCACTGATAAGTTACTGAGTAAATAAACCTGAGGTTAGCAAAGAGCAAAGCCAATAGCACGCAGTTTGTTTTACTGAACATCTGAGACGTCGCTGAACCAAAGGGGCATCTGCAAGCTGAGGAACTGCGTCAGCACTTGCCCCCATGTGCTCATCAGCGCTGCAGTGCAGGGTCTACACTGGGTACCATCCAACCACACAGCCCTTATCCTGCCTGGAGACAGGCAGGCAGGATGTGACCCTCTACATTTGTCCACCCTCTTCCCAAAGTCCTTCCCAACCTCCCCTGCTGCTGGGCTGCTGTTGGAGACACAAAAATGAGCTCCATCATCTCTGTCATGGCCTGAAGACCTGCAGCTGGAATCTGGCAAATACACTGTGGGTCCTGACTCTTCAGACATCTGCAGT